CCTCAGTATGCTTTCACGCAAGACTACCTTTCATGACTTCCTTACTCGGTTGTTCCAAGTCCGTCTTGCCGATCATATTAACGAGATTAGCCGAGGCCGTCTAAGGAGTGAGCCAGCTGTCATTGCAAAAATCCTTCAGCGCACGGGGATGTCGAAGCGCCAGTACCTATACCATCGAGATAGAGGGGCGAAGTGGCGGGAATACTGTAAGGTGTTTCCAGGTATCCTTGGCTTCATCCCCTTCGAAACTCAAAGATTTGGCTTTTCTTCATCGTCTTGGCTCAACCTCGACGAAGGAGAGTTTACCTCCTTACGTTCTCATCTGAAAAACGAGTATACGTCCGCCCTCTGCGTCGCGGGGAGAGCATTTGAACACTCCCTGGATCCCACGGCAGACGATGTGGACTTTACCTTCGAAAATCTGAGTATATCACTGGACAAAATCTCGGACGGAGAGTTGATCTCTACTTTGAGACTCTTCCCAGCAAAGGACGAATACATATATAATCCCGATGCGTACCCAGATTGGCCCAGACCAGAAGAATGGCCCAATGATTCACCGTGGCCGGTTGACATCCCTGCCTGCTTCTGGTGGGGTTCAGTGTAAGTTGTGTCATCAGAGCAATTGCCCTTGTTCCTGTGCCATAAGAGAAATTGCCATTGCGCCGCTATTCGTCACGACATACAGCCTCGCATCCGGAATTATGAAGACAAGTACGAGGCCAAAAACCGAGGTCTACAAGCCGTCGCGAAGGAAGCGGGCCAAATCGCCTATTCGAAGGGCACTATTATCGCCTTCCTTACGGGGGTATTGGCGCCTCCCGACACGTACGACAACGGTCAATGTATACAGGTAGACCGGGGCGATATCCTCGGCGAGCCCACAGTCGCCCAGATTAATTGTGCTGAGTCCGGCAATATCTCTCGACTGTCCAATCATAGTTGTGAGCCATCGGCCCGCTTTAAGGGCATGAGGGTATCAGGGAAGTTTAGGATCGCAATCGTTGCTGAAGAAAACATTTATGATGAGGAAGAAATCACTGTCCACTACGGCCAACAGTATTGGAGAAGGGAAAAGTGTCGATGTCCTGTATGCCGGTTAGGCCGGTGACTCTAGATAGCATATAGAGAGATGTAAGCATTAGGATTCGCACCGCGAGGAACGAGCTATTACACCAGCCCCTGATCGAATAATAATATTGTCAGTGACTTGTGGTTCTCCTATCAAAGACAGATTGCTCAAAAACACTATCAATATATAGCAATGCGGCTAGTACTAAATGAGAACGAAACATTGATCCGGCGATAGACTTCATTTGTGCACGGAGCTCTGACAGAGCAAAGTATCAATGAATATGCACGACGTACTGGATGACGTACACTATAAGGTTCAATCAGCATTAGGCGTACTCGTCAACCCCGTCGAGAATTGTAGACACCACAATAAGCGGTGGTATATGCTTCCACTCTAGTTCTTATCGCAACGTTCTGAAACGTACTAAATGCGGATATAAGAGCCAACAGCTCATTCCTAGTCATATGAGCCATGAGAACGCGTGGCGTGGCGGATCTTTTCAGTTCGAGGAAGATATCACCTCCGTCGGCGCCACAAATAGGTAAATCGATATACCTCCGCTTACTACGGGTGTATAAACCTGAAAGATACTGTGACTATTTATCGTGGCGCTTGAAAGACCATTAGGCATTTCAAATCAGCAGCAGGTCGATGATGTCTCTATCCACTGTTCGTATACTTCTTGCTCTCACCTGTACTTAATAGATGATAGCCAAAAAGGCAGCTACTTCCGTGATGTATGGAATAGTTCATTCCCTCTAAAGACATAGTCAATTTGAGCTCCCTGAGGACCCATTTCTTATTTCATACTTTCTGAGCCTCTGCAGCTTACAACGCCCTTGCATAATCATGACAGTTATTAGGTCTAGCAAATAGATATTAGCATTATTGAATATCTTTTGGTTAAAATGTTGTTGAAGATATGAGCACGGTGGACGTTAAGCAACTAAGCGATCATGTTTAATGGAAACTCGACTTTACAATACTGGAGGCTTCAGCTACAACTTTTGCCTCCTATGAGGAGCTTCTGGCGGCCCTTCTGTGCTAGTGGATCTTTCTATCGCGATGATATACCTTTCCTATAGAATCCAGGACTATGTCACTCTGGTAATTTGTTACTGGCCACTGCTGATTTTTCGGTCACCTATAATAGGGTTTCATGGGTCTCTTAAGCATATCGAGGTTACGTCGAGAAACATCGAGTATTGAGACATAACTTACAAGATTTGATCCATGTTTAGTATCTTGTGGTGGCCATCTGGCACGACAATCGAAAAAAGTTTTGTAACCGCAAAGCGTTAATATGGATGATTCGAAATCACTGAACGTGCGAGCCACACCGTGGCATTCACGTTCGATATCTCTAGCTCGAAGATCGTGCTGCAATGAAAGTAATACCACGCCCTTAACGCCGTCGAGGGGCTCCACCCTTTGTCAATATCCAGGTTCCCCCTGTGTTGATTGATATCAAGTTTGGATCGCTACCGGGTTCTCGATTGCGCCGTACTAAATCAGGAGTCCGCCGCGGACCTAGTCTACAACCGTGGTAGTATCTTGCGCGGCCTGTATCCCAGATGTCTTGTCAAGGTGTGACTGGGAATATTAGTGCAAAGGGGACTTCATGGTTGTGTGGGTCTCCTTTAGCCCAGCGACATGTTTAAATATGGCCTGACGCTCTACGGATTTTCCGATTCCGATAGTTCCCTGTTCTTCTGGCTCCTCTCACATCGCTTGCTATTATACTGCTCAGATATAATAAGAAACATGACTCATAATAGGAATCACATAGCACCACTCGATCAGCTATATCGAGAATCAAGCCTCTTCGCAATACCACGGACCTTCGCTGTCTCCGACATAGAGAGGGAGCCATGGCTGATTCTCGAACAAGAAGCCTTTGAGGGGCCGTACGCTCGCACCTTCCAGCAGTTGCTACTTATCCTCCTCCTCAATCTCGTTCCTGCCGATGGCATCCAATGGACCTACAAGATATTGCGCGAGATTTTTCATCCTGAATACGACTCCCGGTCTCAGAGATTGAATATCTTGCGCGCCGTTAGCAAGATGTCAAAATCGTCTCCTATGCAAGACTTCCATATCGACGCCGAAGGCCATACCGACGCAGAAGCATGGAGGAATTTTCTCCGTCCGATTGTCGGTCAGGACCATCCCCTGCTTAAAACACAGCGTTTCGAACATATTTTTCAAGCAGCAACAATCAAAGATATATCGGCCATCCTCGACGGTCTAGGATTACATCTAGACTATGAACCGCTTTTACATTTCCGACATAGAATTCAGGCCATCTTACCCCGTCAGCTACTTGGACAATCGATGGTTGAGGTGCCGCTCTCTCTAGAGTCTTGCTCTAATCTTATCCACATATTGCAGGAGATGGGATCTGAAGTTGAAGGCGTGGACCCTAGATACATCACCGTGATTGCCTTGCATCGGTCCAAAGGTCTATTCCTCCCAAATTGGGTTCAAACACTGGATGCTGCATATCTGGTCCAGGAGGTCGTACAAAGATTCGAAGCCGAACCTTCTCAACTGAATAGGGTAGTGCTACTCCTTGTGGGCTACATTATTCACCTCCACCTCTTTGGTACAATGAATACCACAGGTCTTCCCGAAGATACGCTTAAACAGCTCGATCGTCTGCCCGACAACCTGCACCGGGAAGGAGTTCGAACATTCGGAGAGGCACTATCATCCTATGCGCAAGTCTCTGGTTTGACGATTATGCTTGATTCTCTGGTGCCAGGCATTTCCTCGAGCCTAAATATATCAGCAAAACAATGCGAAAAGTGGAAACATTTCTGGAACGAGAGGTTTCTCATAATGCCTCGCGACGTTCGATCAGCGGGCACCATAGCAGAGGCTCGTCACCGCTACCGCACTCGTCACAAGTTTTGGGGGTTTCTCAGAGCAGCCTTTACCGGTAGCAAACAAAATGGAAGCGATCGCTCGACTCAGGCAACAAAAGTAAGAAAAAGGGTGTTCAATCTTGCTATGGATAGTAGATGGTAAACGAGAATGGTGAAAGCACGATGAGGTAGGCAGCATTCAGATTATACTACTATTTTAGATCACCAGTGTTAGCATAATACAGTCTGAAACTAGGATGGGCCAGTCCGTGCATGGCAGCAACCCATTTGATCGCCTCCTCAAAGTTACGTGTAAGACTTCACGTTGACAGGAGTGCCTACGTGTTGATGTCGCAAGCTCGAAACCACACTATCTCCACCTTTTCCATTCACATGGAATATCTTCGTCCGCGGATCTCAACATTGGAGGTGTAGTAGGACGGCAGCACAAGAAAGAAGGAAAACGGAGGTTTTTAGTGGCTTCAATAGCACATTGATTGTCATAGTTGTCTCTGACACGAAGACGAGAAGAGAAGAGGTTGTGCCAACTAAGCTATTTCCAAGTGTATCATCTGTGATAGGAGGTTGGAACCTATAAATGTCGGGAGGAGTCTTCGATACAGGTTACCTCCGATTCGGTTCTTCGATCCCATATTTCCTCCCAGTTAGCTTCCCACTTCACATCCCATGGGCTGATTTTGATCTCTGCTGGTATTTTCAATATAATACCGTTTTCAGCACCTTCCTGTCGAACTTGAAAGTAGACACGGTCGTTGAGATCCCCGAAATTTGTAGATTCCTCGTGGGCTAGCCAAGTGAGATTGCCGTGCCTAAACAAATACCATAGTGTAAAGGATAGCTGAGCGGGTTGGTCCTCACACACCTCAACCTCCTCACACACCTCAACCCTAACCTCAACCCTCATAATCTTGCCAGGCACTGTCGCCGTTGGATTCCCGCAGAGTTCCTCGCCATCGTCCACGGCCATTGGCACGACCTTGTAAATAAGTGCGTCCCCATCCTTGACTCGGCGGAGTATAGTCAAGAAAAATTCGTCCCCCCAGATCTGATGATCTTTATCACTCTTCTCGAGACGACGCGACCGCAACCGCGTCAGCTCCAGCTCCGCGAGCTCGTCGACCAAGATTGCTAAGGGAAGATATTCATTGTCGAGCTGTTGCGAGATATACAGCATAAGCGTCAGTGAGAGGACTTGCTTCGGTTGAATTGAAAAATGTTTCCCAAAAATCGAAAACCACTGATCATCGCAAATGACTGCAGTCAACTCCTGATCTGCAGAGATGCAAAACTCCACTTCCCCGAGATCTGATTCATACGTGGTGACGTGGGCATAGGGCTTCCATTTTTCAACTGGAAGTATCCGCTGATCATGCATTACGGAACTGCTAGTAGATTTTCCACGCGCTCATGGCCTCCGGAGCTATTGGGATAAGATGTTAATTTAGGTTTTGAGAGATTTTGGGGACGGGGTCGAAGGGGTTGAATACGTCTAGATGGGAAAAGGCTGAGACAGAAAGAAAAGGGTAGCGCCTCGCAGTATATTTAAGCCTTCGTCCATTACAATGTAGGCCGTGTCATTGTGCCAAACCGATGGATATGAGGGCTCGGGGCACCGCCAAGTCGACCTTGCGTGATGGCTAGCCATGGATCGGACACTAAAGCGGTGTGACGATGCCTAGGTTGATGACGGCTATGCACGCAGGCCCGGTTAGTGCGGTACTGGTCTGGTCTCCACGGTGTGCGAGTAGGTATGCAAGCAGCCGGATGTAGAAACAGGGTGGTGGAGTACCCAGCCTAATGTACCTTCCTCGAAACTCCGAGGCGCAAGAGATATTGTGGTTCAGCGTGGCGTTACACATCTGCCACTCACGACGACGATTACAACGCTGTTTATATTACGACCCAGCGACAGGCCTGTAGGACCAAATGAAGAAAATCAAATGCAGGCCTCTTGCGTGGGGCAAGGACCCGATTGAGTCAAGACGATATATATAGAATACGCTATGAGAGAGCATCTTTCCTGCGGCATATAGGCGCTATGTGATTGGAACTACGGCAGGTAAGCTGATTGAGCACCTTGTACTAGTCGCGAGTGAAATGCAGAAAGCTACACAGCTCAATTTCGTCTTGACGTCGACACTTTCTCCCACGTCAATCGCAACATTCGTGGTTTGCCATTCATTTCGATGGTACCTTCGGGAACTAAGGCCGATAGTACACGTCCATCTTCGAGAAAGACCTCTCTCAACCTTTCTTGAGTCGTACTTCTCCAGCTGGACGGAACGCCCTCTCGAATATGGTGTAGGACTTTTTTCATCGTCCCCTTGCTCTTCGTAAGTACTGTACCGTAGTCAGACAGCATGTTCTTTGCCGCCGTTTCCAATTCCATCGAGGTCCCTTTGAACCACGATCGCTGATAATGGGGTACCCCTCCGGGTTGTAATTTGTGAAGGACCACATTATGACTCTAATCTCTAAGTACCGACGAGAGTAGGGGTCGAGGCGGCGGCGGTATGGTCAGCCATAGGAACCCTAGCTTTGCCTCTGATAACAAAGTGCATGACTGAGCCATGAACATCGTCACGCTGTAGTATCTGTCTGCCCTCATCAAAGTTCTGTGAAAGCTCCACATAACGGCAAAACAGTTCCAGGCTCTCCGTATCGTGCCAGCTCTTTGCCCCCGGATACACCTCTTTGTGTTTCAATATGAGCTCGAATTGAGTGAGGGTAGCTTCGCTGCCAGCGGTATCGAGGGCTTTCTTCCAGCTATGTGCCGTCCGAGATAGGTCGTCGTCGGACCTAGAAGTCCCCATTATATTCACAGTCAGCTTCATCGCCGAGCCGATCGTGAAACAAGCCATTCCTAGCCCACGGATCTCAAGTATGCCACCTGGATTTAGTTGTCGATTTGCTCCCATGATGAACTCAGACGGCTGACCCAGCCATCGTTCAGCGTCCAACAATATGATCAAATCGTATTTCGGTAGCTTGTCCCATCTGACATCGCATTCGACCGTACCAGTAAACCGCATGTACTCCACGGCGATGCTGGGCTGAGCCTTCAACGCATCCAGAACCCACGGTTCAGGAGCTAGACCAATCATCAACGATCGCATGGATTCTCCTCCTGGCAAGCTGGATGCTACCGGGTTGCCATGGAGCGCTTCGGAGACGAGCCTGTATAGATCTACTGCCAATTGAGCTTCTGAATCATCGCCTCCTTTGTGGTCACAGAGCTCTTGAAGACTCAAACAATTGAGTCGTTCTTTTAGATCTCCGAGAGGATAGGGTGCGTCTTGTATAGGACTGGCGGTTTCAATGGCTGGAGTTGAGGACAAGCTATTCAGACAGGATTGTCGTCCTCCGTTGGAGATGTCAAGTTTTCCTCTTTTGCAGCACTCTCCAGAAGCAGCCTCTGGCCTAGGGCGTTTTGAAACCTGTGTCACCGTCAGTCCAATAGCTGTGGAAGGCGTGGTGAACTACCATGGAGGGTCACGATAATTCCGTTGAGAAGTGTAAAATCGATGCTGACTTGACAACTGATTATTCAACCCTGTAATTGACTGGTATGGAAGATTGGACAGAACTGGCCTCGAGTATTGGCAGATCTTATAAGCCAATAACGTATACACTTGAACATCAGGCGGATGGTAATATTGACAGGAACGTAACTTTTATCGACGGAGCCTCTGCAGGAGATACACAGCACGTCTAGTCGTTTTCTTATTCTACAAATTAAATAGGTGGCGACTTGGCCGTAGCTGAGCTACACACGAAGGCGTCCAGCTGTATAAATTTGGAACTTGATTTTTTGGTGTCATCGACTCGGAACGAGATGACGTTTTTAGTGATGGGGGAAGTAGGGGTTCGATCGCCCCCTTTAGGCGCATCATTCAAAAGCAATCTCTATGTACTTGCAGTCAGCGGTATTCGTACTAAAGTCAGGTTTCCGTGCTGGGTATCCCTCCTTCTTTACCATATGATAATATCGAGTAGATAGTAACTCTCCCAAATCTCCGACCATATCTGGCTTGCTCTTCCTTGTCAAGCTTGCTGAACATCCATTTCTAGCCACTTTGGATATTTCCAGTGGAACCAATCTGGTTCTTTGACCAACTCAACCAATGTGACGTCTTACAGCAGGTCAGTGACCTGGAACTGTATGTCCTCCTTTATTCCCTCCTTTATTACCTCTAGCGTGCAATTCCCCGCGCCATTTTCTCTCACTTCCCAGGAGCGCAATGTTCCCTTTATGACTTGCCCTTGACCGCTCAATACAGAACTATAATCCTTTTGTTCGACCTTGATCTGGATCATCCCTTCTAGGTAGACCACTAGATATGCCTCGGCGAAGTATTTTCTGCCTATAAACGTTTCCAGATCAAGCGTATTAACCCAAGCTAAAATATTCATTTTTAAGAGGTTGATGTCTTTCCAAGACGGCTCGGCGTACTTCAACAAAAAGCTTAACATATGATCAACTCTGCCCGTACCAGTCTCAGCCATCTGTTGTTGTTCTTTAGTTAGAGAGGGCCTTTTAGCAGGGTCAATCCAGATGCACCAGCCGCTTTGGATCCGGTAGTAAGGCCACACTGTACGCACCCTCACGTGTAGAGGAGCGTCTCGTCGATAGAGGACCACGATGTTGAGCATCTCACGGATTATGGACTGAGCGATATCGACAGGAGAAATGAACAAGGAAAGGAGGACTTGAGAGTAATTGAACACCTATAGACGAAGAAATGCAGGAAATGTTGCATTCGCCGAAAATCCTTCTGGGTGTCTCGGCCAGCAGTCGATCAGCTGGGCAGCCAGTGAATGCATCAAACGTTGGTGGAGAAACATGTTATATCCAGAGAGTCGCGTCGTGTGTCCTGTTGATTAACGTCTGTTACAAGGGTATAGCCGGGTTCTGGTGATAGGGCTTGATCGCACCCCACTCGGCAAAGTGGACTGAGGCAATCCTCGACCATAATTGGGTGGGCAAAATGAGTCTTCTGGCTTTGGTCGTTTGCTGAGGCTCGTGGACGGTGTGAAGCCAGCTATCCTAGTAAGATAAACTGTAGTCTAAACAGTGCCAGTGATCTGATGAAGAAGGTACCTCAACGAGGCATCATGGGCTAACGAAAGGATCCGTCTGACTGCATAATCAGGTCGTCGAAGCCACCAAGCGATTGTTCATCCCCTCACTTAACAGGATTGCGTCTATGAGACAAAGCTCGCACACTTAGCTGTACGGTGATACTAACCTACGGCAGGGAGAAGCTGTGCCAAAATGACGTTCACAGCCTGGCACTGGGCACAAAGACGAGTCCATGTCCTTGATAATGAGAGGGCCATCTCCATGGGACCTCGTTGCTTCAAAATTTTATCTGAGACATCCCGCCTGTCTATCGATCCATACTCAAGAATAGAAAGTGGTACAGAGTTGGCCCGAGTTATGGACGGGCAAACCATCATTTCCATTGTTCTCTTCATTCTCATCGTTTGGTTTGGTATCGTCCTCTATTGGATCTTGGTCGTAATTTCGAGCAAATGGTGGCAGTAAGTGACTCCTCCTTGAACCTGGCGTTGTGTCGTTGACAGATTCACGCAGTGACAAACAACAGAAAGAGCGGAAACACCATGTTGATTGAGAGCCAAAAGCGGGTGAGCTCCTGAAGGATTCGAACAACTTCATGACACTTGTTACTCGCTTTAAAGCGGTGAGGCCGACGAAAAATATCCAGAAGGTGGTCAGATCTACCGCCATTTTCAAGAACGCTCTGTTCAGCTCGAGAGATATGAGGACCGAAAGCTTCTTGTTGCTCATACTGTGATAACTGTATGTTCGAAGGCGACGAGGCCGGAGAACACCGTAGTTAATGTCACTACCGTAGGTATTGGAGCCTGATACCTTGCATCCCCAGGTCATCATAGTCCTTAAAACGCAATTCCACCTTGTGCTCTCCATAAGAAAAGGTTCCTATAACAAGTGTGCCAGAATTTCCTGTGCCGCTCACCAAGAAATTCTCGATAATCCCATCAACCTCGCCATAACCGAGGAGTGCAGGTTTTCCGCTCCTATCGACGTTGACTCGAAATTTCATCTCATACTCGGGGGAAAGGCTGAACAAAAGCTGAAGGTAGGTCCCGTAGCCTTCAAGGTGTAAATAAACAGACCTTTGAGATGCTCTCCATTGTTCGAACTCGATAACGGTCCAAAGAACGGCCATCACTGTTGTTTGAAATGGCGAAAGGACCTTTGCTTTTCCCATGGGCTTCGCAAATATAAGGAGTAAGTCATGTAGCGGCACGGCGATAGAATTTGTGTCGCGTAAATCTGGGTGGCAAAGACCGTATACCATTCCGTCGTCCATTATGACAAAAGTAAGCCCGTCATAAACGATGACTAGCGGGTTCGACAGCACTCTGAGCGTTGTATTCGATAGATCAAGTGTCGCTTCAGGCCATAAATCTAATGGAGTTATTGTCGCCAGCATCTGTCCAGGGAATCGACGTTCTCTGTGGAAACAGGACTTGACCTTCCAGTCCCGTTGGTGTACCGAGGAGATTGTGAGTTGTGGCCAGGATAGTCTAGCAGGCGTTCTGAACATCAGAGTATTCTTGTCCTGTGGGGGCTGGAAATCCGCTGCTAATCCATAATTTTGAGTAAGGAAGTGGTCTGTATCGGCTGCGAGACTGGTGGTTGTCTGCATGGGGATTTCAAAGATGAACCGTGCTCTGAAAGCCAGGGTTTTCTTATTGGTAATTGTTGAATGTTAACCGCGATATCCACGCTTCCAGGGCTTTGTAAAAGATGAGGCAGTAAAGAACAAACGAAAGGAATTATTCGGATAGGGACACACTTTCACCCGCATTGTATGGCTCTGCAACAAAAGATCTGGGTTCTTCCCAAGCTTATATATCCACTGTTACGTCAGGACAATACCCTGCCAACCTCTGAACATATTCGCTCCTCAATCTCGCTTGCCTCCTCGTCTTGTGCCTGTCTGTCGAGAAGTGATTAGCAACTAGTCTCCAAGCCCATTCACTAGTTCATGCAGCATAACGAACGGGGTTGAAGCTCGCAAAGTGGCAGTGGCCGCTTTTCTTACGCAGTACTCTCTGGAGTCGTCGCCGCGACGAGTTGACACGTAGAAAGGTTGAATTCCGCCCCAGGTAGGCCTAGATCAACAATACCGTGACTTGCTGGCTCGGTGAGACTGGGTAGTTATCTCCCTCCATTCAGCTTTCCACTTGTAAGGAATAGGTATCAACCACGTAGAAAGCATCGGTCTAAACCATTCTTGCCGGAAAGACAGTCTGATATGCCAAGATAAACTTCGAAACGATGGTTGGTTACAAAATCCCACAACAGGATCTAACTGTACGTACATGCTGACAGGACAGAGCAACGATCAAGAAATGTATGCCGGTTGGAAGAGTGGTGGTGTCGCCTCTTTGGGAAGCGCGAGAATTTCCCCGGCAGGCCCAAGACCTTCACAGCGGAAGTAGACTCCCTGCGCATTGAGCTCCGACATGTGTTGACGAATCTCGTACTTGGATAGCACCATCAGCTTCCCATCGCGCTCGTAAAGGATGGAGACCTCCACAGCCGTTCGCGCTTCCATGGTCATGACCTGGAATATGTGACCGTGTGTCCAGGCATACAACGAGCTATTTAACCATCTCTGAATCAGCACCACAGATTGCTCTTTTATTTCCTTTCGAAGGCACAACGTGAATATGTGCAATTCGCATTGTAAGATTGGACAGCGGTCTCGAAGCAGGGTGAAAGTCGGATGTTCAAGTCTCTTCACGGCCTGTGTGGCCAGAATTCGGACGCACTCCTTGAGGGCAGTCACCTCTTCCGGAGGAATACTAGTAAGTATATTGTCGTCGGCTTGCAAGAAGCAAAAGACGTCGGTCAGTTTGAAGTCCTTTCCCTTGCTGCGGTGCAGCTTGTAGCACTCAGCCAACTCATACCAAGCCGCCTCAACTTCCACGTGTCGGGTAGAGATGGTGAGCTCGTGGTCCTTTGTCAACTTGAATTCGTAAAGAGGAATCTGTTCGGTCGAGCCCGTCCTTTGAAGGAGAGGTCTCCACTCGGCCGGACCAGAGAGAGTGGCGACGGTGTTGTCTGGTTTCCAATCCTGCCAAGGAGGAATGTGCTGCACATAGGTAGCAACATCATCGACGTCAAGATAGTCGTCTTCAATGCTCGTATTCTCGTCGCTATCAGAGTTGGCTGGGGTCCCAGGTGAATCGTTTTGAAGAGGATAAGATATTTGTGGCTCCTGGATCTCTTGAAGCCTCACCACCGCCTCGGTCAGCGCGGCGCGCTCCAAATTTGAGTGAGTGAATGTATCGGGGAACTCCAGCAGCTCTTCGTGCATCCAATCAAGCGTCATCAAACCAGTAGCCGTGGTAAACGGTGGTGTCGAATGGCTGGAGTGAAAGCTCGCCAATATAACATTGTTTTCGGACCACTTGAACACATATCTCGATTCGCCGCTGGACAAAACAGCCACAGTGCTTCCTGGACCTGAAAATCGATCTTTGGCACAACGGAGAGTCCACCGTTTATTGAGGCGGCACGTGCCACCGCACTCCAAGGCGGAGTCATTTTCCCGCGAGCATCCACATGCCCATGCTAAGTTCTGGAGAGCGTGTGGGTTAATGGTAATATCGGTCATACCGGTCATATTTGCTATGCCACAGGAGTGTAAGGTATGCCAAAAGAAAGTAGAAGACGGATTGAGGCGAAGGAAAAAGGACTGTGGGAAGTATTGGGAGGTAGGGACGTCGTGTGCTTTTTTATCTCGAAGAAAAGGTCGGAGGGTAGGGAATCAGCCGGGCTTTTCAAGTAGATCTTGAAGACCGTGAACCGTTAACGGCTGGCAAGAGCCACCGTTAAACATATATCAGCGTCCGGATATCTTACACTTCCATCAGGTGGCATTACACTTGACGCAGCTTACGGAGACATCTTCAGAGAAATGGTCTAGTGTTGTATGCACGAGGTTGGAAAGAGTCAGCAGCAGGGCTCCTAATCAACCACTATCGATGTCCGGGGTGAAGGTGTGGCTCACTAGGCTACGGGCAAGGCCTGGATGTTGCCTAACCTGAACAAGAGGCGTAGGACCAACCGCCACCCCAGCCAGCTGGACCCAAGTTCTAGAGTCGAGAGCGAGGGCTCGCCGTCCCTTCTTTCCTTTCTCCTATGTAGGGTAGAACGCAGTATAGAATATACCCAGAATACGGTCCGACAGTATACCGGTCGCCCTGAATGGCTCGTAGTGCGCGTCCCCGAAACCATTCAGGGCATAACTTTCTGGCCCGCACCGGTCCAAAATATTTCACATCCTCGGGATCAGGGTCCCAGGGATTTTGGTCAACTTCCAAAAAAGAGCCGGGGTACTCTCGGTAGAGCTTACCCTTCAATTTAGTAATGCACCCTTTCCACACGAGTATTTCCCAACGTCCATTGTTTAGCTGCATAATATGGACGATATTGGAGAGGCTCTTGGCCACTTGGTCAAGGTCCCGCAGCGTCACTGAGCCATGTTCAGTGTCAAAGCGAACGACGGTGTACTGATCGTAGATCGTCCGGGCCACGACCGAGCTACAAAAGTTAGATCGCAGTAAAACACAAGAACAGAATCAAGGTCATACGAGAACCAAGATGGCGTTCGGGGCCCAGGTCCGCCGGAAGGGCATAAGCCATCACTGGTGACCGCCTCGCGCCCTGAGTCCTGGAAGTAACGTGCGACACGTTCCACTGTGATAGTGATAGCTACGTCGACAGCGGTCTCGTTTTCGGCTCCGCAACTGGAGATGAATTCGCTGTTCAGTCGGTGCCCGAAGTCCCCATAACCAGTTAAAGACGATGGCAATGTCAAGGTCTCCTGTGACCGGAAGGAAGGCTGCATGGTGCGGAGACAACGTAGGAGGTAAAGGAAGGGTAGACGCTGTCCTCTGGTTTGGGAAACGGTTCCCAGGGGCCGTGACAGGGCATCAAACATCGAATCAGAGAGTGTGAGGCAATCCAACCGGTGAGAGAATCATACAAATAGGGCGTGAAATGATGCATAATTATATGTCCGGGGACAGCTGCAGACTCGCAAGATAAGCCACTGGGACGTACTGCAATATCACATTTACACCGTCTATGTGAAATGAAGCGCGAAGATGGACGTGTGGAGCAAAGGTCAAGCGTGAGTGCAGCCGAAGTGGCTGCTGGTTGAAGGCCGAGAGCCTACTTCCGCAGCTGCGGCGCCAGCTGCCGCTGACCGGGGGGTGTCGCATTTTGAAAATGCGACACCCCCCGGTCAGTGCGCCCGCCGAGCCTAGGGGTTTTCGAGAGACCTTTCGCAAAATTGACCGCCCTTTCTCCTTCAGTCAATTTGCAGGAAAGATGAACGAGGTCATTGCACATTAAATCCTCACTAAAAGTCACTGTCTCAAAGATGTTATAATCCAGATTCAGATCCACCTACATATAATTTCTCAGGCTCTCAATGGGACCATACCCCTTGTGGTCAACCTCAAACGCTTCACCAGCTTCGATGGCGATTTCCAGGTGTTTGATCGAAAGAGGTTCGTTTTTCCACAAAGCAAATTCCATGCCTGTCCGTGCAAAGTTCTTGATCTGGCCCATCATAGTCAGTCGAGCCGTCAAAATAGGACGGGAATAATCAACACGTCTTACCTGCCTTCCGTTGATCGTTTTGTCACTTAAACTATCTATCTCCTTTTCTGATATGTTCACCTCCACCTTCACCTTACCCAAGAAAGTTTTCCAGATATTTTTCTTCACATCTCTGCCTAGATCGCCGAATCTGATCGAAAAATGGATTCTGCTTTGGAATGCCGCGTCAAATGTCGCTACTCGATTGGTCGTGAGAAACATGATGCCTTGGAAGTACTCCAGGTGGCGGAGGAAGACTGATACTAGGGCGTTCCATTGGACGTCCTGCAGAGAGCGCTCGGCAAGATACACGTCGGACTCGTCAATCAGAATGATAGCCCTCCATTTATGGGCGAGCGACGTGATTTCCAGTAGATTTTCTTCTAGACGTTCTGCATTTGTGCCTAGATCTCCGGCGTACACCTATGCATAGTTAGAAGATGCTGAAGACCACAATGAGCACGGTGGTGACAGACACTGTAGAGAGGTAGCTTCCTCTTCTCTGCTAGTCCTTCCGCCGTCAAAGTCTTTCCAACGCCAGGAGGGCCGCTTTTAGATTAAAGGTTAGCTGTGTAGAAACACGGCGTGGGTTCGGAATCATACTGCAAAAGGAGGACTATGTTTTGTCCTTTTCCTTGTATAATGTCGTCAAACTTTTCATCGTCTGACCCGTTTGTATGACGTTCAACGAGTGATTGGATAATCTCCTTTTGACCAGTCGGGATCACAAGGGTATCAAACGCAGAGCAATCCCAGTCAATTTCCTCAATGTCGTCCACGCAGAGTTCGCCTGAAGGTAGCGATACTTAGTCCAAATATCTAAAAGGAATAAACTGAAAGGAAAGGGTAGATACCCACCCCACCGTTTTCTCTGAAAAGAAAAAGCATATACAGTCTCGCTGCAAACCAACAAATCTTCCACCGAGCAAGGAATCTTTTGATCCTTTACCTCGCGACTAGTTTCGGAAGAATCGTCTGCGGAATCATCTTCAGAATCACTGTCCCAGAGCCATTGACGACCTTTGGAGGATTTGACATCAAGGCGGGGAAAGGAATAATTTGGGTTCTTCTTCCTAAATGAGACAGCATCAACCATGACCCGCCCGCTCACGGAGAACTTCTTCACTTCTTTCTTGTCCATATAGAAAGCCTGTCCCTCATACTGACGGAAGTGAGTACCAATAAGGGAGCAGAACTTTCTTCCGCGCTCAGTTAGTTGTTCAACAACGTCCTGCTTCTGAGGGTGATACTCAAGGGGATAGGCTCCCAGTAAAGTTATCTTCTTGATGCCGTCGAACTCGGGAATTTTCAACGGAATCGTTGCTTCGCCAAAACGCTTTCCGTCATGAGTAAGATATCGACAAATCATCTCAAAGTGTTTCTTGCCGTGGTCGATTTGGAATTTTCCAGAATTGAAAATGACGCATCTTGAGTTCTCGGACGTTGAGGGGATCACGTATATAACGCAGTTTGGCCGGAAAAAGACGGGGAGCAGATTGAATGTAATCTCCTTGTGTTGAACGAGAGCAGTTAGTTTGTCCCTTGTCGATGCGTAGTGAGTCTTCAGGAACTCAATCAATTTGCTCAAATGGAGTCTCTCAGGAGATCCCGGTGTGGTGGTCGTCTGGAACGCCTCGAGTTGAGTTTCATAGGTGAACAAGACGTCAGGGTTGATCTACTCCAGCATTGTCAGGGGGGCCTCTCGTGTTTACGCTATTCAAGGACATTACTCACCGATGGTTTGTCTTCTCGTAAGCTGACACAGGTGACCCCATCCAAAACGTCTCGTAGAATATCTCTCAAGGTTGTAGATTTGACATCGATAAAGCTGTCTAAAAGGGTATCTTCGCTGTCTAGGTAATAATCAGATTTTGGTAGCACTCGTTGCAGGAGGGCGCCATACCAAACTTCTGTCGAAAGACGGCGATATACTCTGTGTATTCATCGCCCTCCTCCAAGACTGTGTCAAATGACTTCTTAATCTCATATTTGTAGGTGGACTTGTTCCAGCTGGTGACAGCTTGTGTTAAGCAGATTTAACTTGCTTCGAGAGGAGTACCTTACAATTCATAGACCCTGGTTATGTCAACTTTCGACGCTCTTAGTTTGGGCTGATACCCGTCTCCTTGTTTTTGTTCGTCATCTCCGGGTGGCATGGCTTCTGTACTAGGAGTGGACAGTCGCTGTACCTTGTTCAGCATGTCCAAAAGCTGTTGGACTTGATCGGTGGTGATATGGACGGAATGGGGAGTGGGAGTTTGGTTAGTGTCCATTGGAGACATCACTGGCGATGACTGTTGAGGAGCGTTCTTTGTTGATGCCATAACTCCAAAGGAGTAAAGCAAGCCGCGGAGATAGGAGAGATATGAAGGGTCAAAGCTTTAATGGGAACTCTGATCCGAGGGGAAAAGACTGAATAAGAAGAACTAGGGACAGACTTGAGGACAGGACAGAGAAACAAAAATTGAGAATAGACGATCGAGAAGAGTATCTATTGCAGGAAGCATATACTACATCATCCTTAGCCAAGAGAAGCCTACAATGAGTAACAATGCGGCGCTAGGCCCGGCTGCGGACTTTGTCTATGCGAGAGATGTAGAGAAAGAGGTCGATCCCATAATCCGGCTGTCCTATGCCCACCTTAAATGGGACAGTGGTGTCTTGCTAACGTTTTAGGTCAGTGCCTCCAAACTCCTTCAATCGCTTCGACACTGATGAACACACAGATGAGTGGGACATACTCGAGCAATGTCCGACGAAACCCAAAAACAGAACCTCAGGCGGCGGTCTTCTAAACTAACTCCTGCCCGAGATGCAAAGGGGACGGCGCACGAAGTCCCAATGGCCCATACTTCTGTAGGGTCAGGTTCGTACCTAACCCTTCCACAAGCGGACAGCCAGAGCCACCATTTGAACATAGATCAGCGTCCGGATATCTTACACTTCTGTCAGGTAGCGCTAATAGATTTGACGCAGCTTGCGGAGACTATACCATCCTCAGAGAAAGGGCTAGTGTTGATATGTACGAGGTTTGAAAGAGTCACCGAGAGCGCTCCTAATCAACCACTATCGATTGTCCGGGGTGAAGGTGTGGCTACTGACTAGGCCTAGATGTGGCCTAACCTGAACAAATGGCGGAGGGACCGACCGGCCTGAAAGCGACGGCGAATGAGCGCCAGCTACCTTCTAACATCCTCGTCTCCTCCCTCCGTTTGTAGGCCATTCAACATTGAATCTCCCATTGTACCCATCGTACTCGACTCGCTCAATAGACTCCGAATCCTTCGATTGTGATGCTTCAAGACATGACCATAGTACATTTGTGCAATGGCCCAGGATTTTTCAATAACCCTAATTGCCCTTTCTGAAAACCAGAGGGCATAAAGTTCCCGGGCCTTCTCGAGCCCCCAACATTCCACGTCCTCGCGAAGAGGTTCAAATGGGCAGTATTGCGGATCGAGAGTAAAGCGGTTAGGGAGCTTGCTCCGTAGAGTGGGGAGATAGGCATTCCGAACAAGAATTTCCCATGACCCATCGTTTAGGGGTGTGATGCTGGGCACCTGAAGGATATCCCCCACCATCTCATCAAGGTCCTGGGCTATCTCATCAAGGTCCACGGTCCTACGGTCCTCAAGAGCGACTCGTACGAGGGTGTATTCAGCGTCAATGAGCTCCCCAGTCGTTTGCCTGTATCAGTTAGTCGGTATCCTTGTGTGGGACAAACAGGCGGCGTACTGGAAGATAGTTGGAGGTGGCCACAAATGTCCATCACTGGACGGCGTCTCGGCGCCAGCAATCACCCCATCTCGCTCGAAAACTTGGGTGACGACTTCCACATGAATAGCAACCCGGATCTGTGCAAAATCTTCGTCCTCAGGGATCACCGTGCTAACAGAATTGTCGTCGTCAACGGATGGAGCCTCGACGGATGACCCATCGCTGTCGGACAGTTCTTCATCTTCGTGGCTAGGCCCAAACTGGTCCACAGCGCATTCATTCGCCCTGGTCCAGTGGGAATTTGAGAACCGAGCCTGATGTGGAATATATGCTGACGGGGGCTTCGGGATCGCATATGCCGTATCGGACAAAGGTTGCAGAAGGGACTTAGGAGGACCAGAAATAGAGGCCCCCAAGGCCTGACAGTTGACGGAGCCAAAAATGGGGAATCGTCATCAATTCCCTTTTTTTGCGTACCGCTATATATAGACATGGGACGGTGCAAAATAGCTCGAGTTTCGTGGTTGAGGGCGCTTGGTGTTCGCCTCATAGAATTTCTGATCATTGATAATGAAAATTGAAGTCGACCGCCATGAAAGGTCAACCATATTTCGCTGAAAGCATATCAGCAAATGCGTGTAGCTCGGTAACTTACGTGCTGCGACGCCAGTCGAGAAGGATATATCATACTAGACAGTGCTTTTCGAGGGAACCGAGTTGGACTCGAACCGTGATCGTTGAAGATGTAATGCATTTTAGCGCCTTAGCACTATTCCATAGGATTTCTCGGAAAGGCGGCAAGAGCCCTGTGCGGTCCGAAGTCATATGGTGATGTTGTCGCTTCCTGATGTGTTCTCGATCGTCTTCGCCTTGCCAATGTATCACTATACTGCCACACTACCGACGGCCCGCAGAGGACCGGATTCGGGCAGTGATTCCGATATTGCGGTGTGAGTAGGTCTTGAGGATGGCAAGCTAGGCGTAGTGTCCAGAACCAATGCTGATATCGGAAGTAGCTCGTCCTTGTTTGGCGAAAAGTCTCGGTAGGCAGCCATAAACTGCGAAGCTATGTACGAACCACCATTCGAAAATATGTGAACGAGAACGCTGGGCTTGTTCGGTCGTTTCTCGTCCCCGAGCTGCTGTATCACCGAGGGAGCAGGCTATATAGCTTTTCGCTGTAGAAACAGTGGTCGCCAGAATAGGTCTGCTCCATTTATCGGAGTAGAAGGATTAGAGACTAAGGATGCATCATCTGATAAGGCTTTGTGTACTTCTTGTTGTACCGTGGCTGGGCTCCCATCCAGGAACATATTATTAATTAGGTCGGGCCGACTGCAGACGGCTGTGGTTTCGAAGAGGTTCCTGTTGCTAGCTTATATAAGAAAATCTGCTCTCCCAGCTTGGTGAACTTTAGGAGATAACGATCTGGCCGCTCCTCTCCTAAGTGAAGCTCTGGTTCTGGTCCGGCGAAGTCCACGACTGCTTTGTGGGAAGGGATGTGATAGCTGGGGATGGAATGGACGCCAGACCTTTTCGAAGCCAGTCTGTGTACTGCAGAGTATGTCGAAAAATTGAGACCGAGCCGAATGCTGGAAGGATGTTCGCGGATCGATGCGAATGCGCCCGACGTTGATGGCAGTGAGCTACCACAACTCGCTGCCTTCTCATTCAATGCACATCTAGTAGCGTGTCCGAGCGATATGTATATATAGATAGTGAATGTGATGAGATCTGACCGAATGACTGTTAATATAGAAGGCGCACCATGGATAAAAAGCTCACAGTAAGGTCCTTAATGATTTTCAACGATACTTGCTGGACGCCTTCTTCCGAGACATCGTGCTTTGTGAGTTTTCCGGGGCGGCTGTTTCCGTGCGCTCTCATTCGATCGCTTCAATCTTCCGCCCCGTAATATGAGCGTGCGTTCGGACACTGCACCCGCCTGAGCAAGGATACTGTCACTGTAATTCTGATGATCACGTAGATCCGGAAGAACCGAAGGTATTGAGCATGCGGCAACGAGGTTCTCCTGATGGGCGGTATCGACACAAACTGCGGCTCTATGGTGATCTGCGCTTTGTTCACATACCGGTTTCTCTGGATGGAGATCATAGGTACGGCAAGGCTCTGCATGTCGATTTACTGCAAGTTTCAGTTGTCCCTGACTTAGTGCTCAACTGGGTCCTATTGAGTCTGGTTGCGAAAAGAGACATCCAAGATCCATACTTCATGTCATGCCACGTGTCGTCCTTCAGTCGCAGCCCCACGCTCATACATAGTGTTATATCACTTTTCCCCGTCAATGGTAGTGTCCTTGTGGGACTCTTCAGGTGATTACCGCACCGCAGAAGTTCCATCGTCTGCGGGAAGGCCGCCGCCCTCACCCTCTGGGTCCTGGTAGGCGCCTTCCGGCTTCGTCGCGCCTCGAGTACGGCCGCCCTTGAGAATGTTGCTTTTGTCGATGGCTTCCTTCTCGTCTTGCTCTAGACGTCAGTGTTAGCGATATGTTCAATCAAGAAGAGGAGGGTTCGAGGATCAGTGTACCTAGCGCCTGATCGGAGTCAGGGTTGCGCGCATCGTTGGGTTGTTCCACCGGAACTTCATCCTTGACCACGGGGACCACCTTGTCGTTGGTAGCGTAGGAATTGTCGACGGTGTCGCCACCTTGAGGGATGTCGTCGGTGTCGGTATCCTGCTTGTCGAATGCTGCGTCGGCGTTGGTAGACATGATGTTGGTTTGTGCACGGGTGCAGCTTTTGTGAACGATTTTCTCAATCAAGGGTGGAGGATGAAGAGAGGATAAATTGAGCCACGGAATCTTCTGGCTGCGTGAGGAGTTTTAACATTTCCGGGCCCGAATGAGAGATGACATCGAGATGTCGTCACGACAAGATGAATGACCTTTGCTGGGTCAATGTTCCAACTATCAGGAGCAAACAGTGAAGTGCCTCGGAGTCATCCGTGTGGAGACAGATGCAAGTAGTATGTGCAAAGCTGGGAATTTGAGTGCAAGAGGGATAGTAGTGCTTGAGCCTGGAGCTCGTGAGATGCATAATTTCCAGCCACAAAAGAGCAATGTTTCGTTATTCAGCGGTGACATGGTCGAGCGCGCTATTCGCCACTCGCATCAACAAACACCTTTTCCCTTTTTCAATTCCGTTCAAACGCCATTTACCACTATCTCCCAATAATCTTCTACATAGCTTCAAACCTTTGCAGCGTCTGGATTCAACTTGAAGCAGCCTCATCATGTGACAGGCCAAGGTACCAGCAGTCCGGGCCAAGTCGATGCCCTCTTTCTCTCCCAAACCTCTTCAAACACCACGGAGCGGTTACCATCTATCAGTTTTAATTGATCTCGCTGAGGGCAGTAGGTTGGCCCATTACGAGGTTACCAAACGTAGAGGCAAAACAAGGTACGTCACCTGAGCATTGCATTTTTCAGGTAGACAACCTAGCACGGAAACTTCGCAGCCTTCAGACCCAGCCTTAGCCGAGTCACTCTGGACCTCAGCACAAGCTTGATCATATCAGGGCGCACCCAACAGAACTAACCTGTTGGTTCTTAAGCTCAAATTCACAATATTGCTAAGAGACCCTTCCAGTCGGCACCGACTTAGTTCTAGGTAGACGAAGAAGCCGGCATTCTCCTCTCACGCTGTACAGCATGTCCAAATTTAGCCAAATCTATGCAGACGAACTAAAGTCCTCCACAGCCACAACAGCCACAGCAGCCACCGGCCCCCTGAGGAAAAGACACATCAATGAACAAGAGCAGCCCTCGCACGGTGCTGTTGAGGTTGGAAATCCAGCCAGCTTCAAGCCCAAGTACCTTGTTCTTGACGATATCAACATCGAACTCATCACGGTATTCGCCGCCGTATCTACCGCGATATCCATCTTCGTGCTCGGCACACCAGGACTATTGACCGCCGCAGCGACTGCGGCGATCATTTTGCCTCTGCGAGCTTTCTTCCCTCGTCCCACAACCCCACAAGGACTTGTCCTGATCACGGGCGCCTCGAGCGGAATCGGTGCAGAACTGAGCTATATCTTCGCTGAGCACGGCCACAACCTCGTGTTAGTTGGGCGGAACAAGGAGCAACTCGAAAATGTCAAAACCAATGTCGAGACCAAATATGGTAAGAACTGCACGAACCATTACGCTTGATCGATCTGTGCCTGGGAAGCCGAAGCAGCTCTACGATCAGGTCAGGGTTGAACGTTTAACCGTCGAGGTCTTAGTCAATAACGCTGGCCTCGGAGCTGCTGGTGAGACAATGGAACAGCCAATCGAATTGGCTGAACGTATGACGACCTTGAATTGCATTGCTCTGGTCCCGCTGACGCTGCTATTTGGCAGCGACATGCTAAAATGCGGTCGTGGATGGCTTCTGCATGTTTCCAGCGTTGGCGGTAAGTTCTGCACTCCCCTACCCTACACCCGTTTTTTCCCTGCCCTCGATATATTTCAGCACGGAATGACAAGTCCTCGCTAGGTTGTTTGGCAAGCCCTGGTCAAAATGTCTACCACGCAACCAAACACTTGTGCGCGAATTCTCCGAGTCTCTCTCCATCGAGCTACGCGGTTACCCTGGGATCGTCAACACCCAACTGATGCCAGGCCGGACGCAGACGCCATTCATCACACGCTCTCACGCGGAGGAGTCCTTTATGATGGCGGCCTCAGCCGCGGTCGAGGACCCTAAGAGCGTAGCCTTGGCTGGATACTGCGGATTATGTAAGGGCAAGCGCCTGGTGTTTAGTAGCTGGAATGCGGCATTGACAGCGACCATGATGCACTTGATGCCGAGGAGAGTTCATCTCACATTAGCTAGCGTCATGAATCTACCGTTACGTGGTGCAATGAGGGCCACGGAGCCGGAGAAGGATCAGAAATACGTGGACAGGATCTTTGAACAAATTTGGCAATCTGAAGTGTCCCTGTGCCCAAGAATCGCCTACATTCGAGAAGTGGTTGGGGTTGGGATTGGGGCAACTACGCTGGTGTTTGTGGTGCTTTTAACTGCTACGACCGACATACCCTGCAACCTTCCACCCTGGAGGGTAAATCTGTTATCAGTCGCGTTCATATTTGCCCGGGAGAAAGATGACGCCTTCAGGGACCAGCACCGCGGGCAGGAACTTTCATCGAGCAAAGGGCGCACCTGCCGCGCTTGCGCTCCTATAAACAACACATCGACCCACTAAACGGTACGATGGCAAGGCGAATTCTGGGATCCTGTGGCGCAGTTCCTGAAGACGCGAACACGAATGCTGAAATCCTCCTGGGGGACGTGATGTGCAATAAGGAAATCTGTAAGGTCGGCCGACATCGTTGATAAATGTGTTGAATGCTGCTCCCTCTGTCATCTACTGGAAAAGGAGTAGGGCCCCTTTCATGCCGAGGGCGAAGCTGGCTCCATATTTTGTTGTACTTTATGACCACGAACTCTACTGAGATATTGGGACTTATATAGTAGAGCTTAGAATGACTTGCGGTTCTCTATGCTAGCATAACGCACTAGAACGCGGATGGTGTTTTAAGGAAACGATAGCTACTCCCCACCCGCCCCGCTCTAGGGCTATAACGTATACGCCGACCACTTAAGTCTATAGTGTATAAGTTACCATTAGACTTGGTAATAATCCCCGCTAAAGTTGCCCAGGGTGTTAAACTCGATCCTCGTATACCTAGGATCTCTATATACGAGCGTACACCTATAAGATAAGAGGCATCTAGATTCATTGGCCCAGCGAGACTTCTCAAGACAAAGTGGTATCAGGATACAGAACCTACTAGCGGCTCGCGAGAAATCAGAAAAGGTTATCTAGGGCTATAGTGTGACCTAACAAGTTCTGTACTAATGACGAGTATCTTGAATGAAAGCAAGACCTTATAATTTTGGGATAGAAGGGGAGTAGAAGAGTATGTCATAACGCACATAGTTCCCTATTAAAGGATGGGGCTTATTACCTTTAGATCACGCTCACCTAAACAAAGATAGAGATAGGTTCGATGTTTCACGGATCTCTATTATGGGCAGTATTCTTAGTCTACCCATATCATTAGAGATCATGAAAGTCGAACCTACGACATGCTGTTCGAAAATGGTATGAATGAGATTGGTTGTCCTTTATCATGCCATGTTCGAACGGCATGAGTCAAACATTCGACATTCATGACACGGAGCTCTTCCTTAAGGTGGAGTATCCAGTAAGCACACAGATCATTATCATTCAGTGGATAAGGCCCGAAAACTGGAGATCGCGGCTAGTAATTGACGTCGACAAGATCGAGCCTGGAGGAATGCTTGAGATTGACACAAGGGAAGATTTGGTCAAACCCCCAGAAATGTTTCTTACTAAGCGAGACATCAAGGGAGTGGAACAGTGGTGGCAGTGCCGTTGGAAGATCGATTAAGGTGAGGGAAGAGTGGGAAATGAACAAAGTTGAGAGGCGCTATGAGAACCTAATCGGTCTTTTTCATTGTGCGGCCTAATAATGGCAAGCCAAGCTTGCGCGCCCTTACACGTGGTTTGCACGCATGATCGGACTGCCTCCGTTGTTCTCCCGCGCGCTTCTATGTTTCACAAAAAGTCTCAGAATGTTCAGCGTGATAATCCCCACTGAGTGGACATTAGGTCAGGTCTGATTCGTACGTCCCTAGGCCGGAACTTAACAGCCATTCCAAGATGGCGTAACCCCTCGGATGATATACCCGAGATATGCGAATCCCTTGAATTGTTCTAAAGCCAAGCACAGCGAGCTTTTCGTGAACATTCTCATCATCCTCCCAATTCTCGACCTTTCGCTGTCAGCCTGAGTACCCTAAAGATATCGTCACTGTTCTCTCCGCAGAGTCGAAACTCAAAGGGCAACTGAGCAGGCAACCGGGCTAGGTAACCGCATTCGAGGGGTTAAGAACACCATCCCATACATTGCACAAAGCTGAAGCTGACAAGTCACTAGCGTTCAAGCTGAGACTCCAGAAGGTGGCATCACCACCTGTACCAAATTGCACCGAACTCGGGAAGACTTGTATCATGAGCGACGCAAGCCATTGAAATCACAGATACGATCCTCTGGACTTTTCACACCTGGGGCAAGATGACATTCAAAAACTTCTGCAGGATCTTTTCCAGGTTCTTTATAGCGCACAAGTCGGTCAGATAGATGATTTGTTCCAGATGATTCGCAGCGGGGCCTCGCTTGAGGAGGTTCAATCACGTATTAGTGAAATCTTGGGAAGCTTTAGCAGTCCTGGGGCTACTTAGGAATAACGATAGCACCAGAGATGAAAGAGGTCCCTAGTCTGGCGTTCTATCGAGGACGCGAACTATAGTGGTTTATTAGCAGCCGCGCATATCGATGGCGCGCTATATACGGCTCAGCACACATACCAAATCCGCAAAAATCAAAACCCTCGGAATACTGAGGCATAAACCTCAAATTTCTGCAGCATATAATTCTGGTTCGATAGAAATAGATGCAAACTGCGTCTGCGAAGTAGAGTGTTTGATCGTCCGTCTGTGTCGATCGGAGAGACTTCAAGAACAGGAATAAGCTGCGTGGGATTTCCAATGGCTTTCCATCCACCAATATGGTCTCCCTTTCACCATGGCTCCATTTGTAGGATAGTGCTTCATACGTCGGGTCCTCAGCCAGATTGTATGTCTTTAGCTTTATCATCATACGGTCAGCACCGGTGCCAGCGAACTGCAATAATCGAATAAGGCCAACAGGCACATCTAAGAGGTGTTTGACAAGTTCTGGGAAGATGAAGGCAAGAAATACGGGAAAGCGGCCGGGGATCCGAACACATACACGGCCGGCGTGATAGGCGAGCACAATGTCGTGCTAGCCTACATGCCGGGCATGGGGACCACCAGTGCCGCGGCGGTGGCAGGAGCCATGCGAGTGAGCTTCTCCAACATCAAGCTGGCTCTGGTGGTCGGGATATGTGGCGGCATGCATGGGCAGGAGATTGTGCTGGGCGATGTGATCATCAGCCAAGCTCTCATCCAATATGACTTTGGGAGGCAATATCCTGAAGGCTTTAAGAGGAAGACTGGTGTGCAAGAAACTCTGGGCCGACCCAGTCCGGAAATCCGAGGCATCCAGGCCAACTAGGGACCAATCGCTACAAGCAGAGGATGCAAAATGACATCGCCACATTCCTGAAAGAGATGGAGAAGAAGTTACCCAAGACAAAACCTCCCGCTCGGGAGAACGATGTACTGTACTACTCCTCCTATGTGCATCAGCACCACACATCGGCGGCATGTGAATGTGGTGAAGGAGACCGGATATGTGAGGCCGCCCTTAAGGCGGCTTGCGATGACCTTGGGTGTGATTCGGTCATGCGCGTTGCTCGAAACCGCTTGGTCGACACGACACCGCAACCTATGGTCCATTTTGGCATCACGGGTTCTGGGAACAGCGTGATGAAGTCAGGACAGCATCGCGATCAAGTGGCCAAGGCCGACGGAATCATCGCGTTCGAGATGGAAGGGGCCGGTGTCTGGGACTACTTCCCCAGTATGGTCATCAAAGGGGTGTGTGACTATGCCGACAGTCATAAGAGGAAGGGCTGGCAAGGGTATGCCGCGGCCACGGCGGCGGCATGTATGAAGGCTTTCTTAGTGGAATGGACTCCAGAGGAGAGACCGACCAGTCCAGGTTAGCTTGAGATTCCACTCAATCATCTGTATCACGACCGGCCAGCGCTGACCGTTTCCAAGTCGGTGTGACAAGAGCGCAGACGTATTTTGTCGTTCCAACGCACCGTGTCAAAGATTTTATTGGCCGTGAAGAGGAGCTTCGCCAAATGGGTCGTACTTTCATCACCCGGTTGAAAGACCTCGAATCTTGGTGCTCCATGCGATGGGAGGACAAGGAAAGAGTCAAATTGCCCTCGAATACTGTCGACAGGCGCAGCAAATATACCGAGGTGTGTTTTGGATTGACAGCAGCTCTGCATCCACGACTGTTCAATCCTTGGTCAGCATTGCACAAGAACTCGACGGTTCAGTGGTCAACGCGTTGGATGACGACGATGCGAAAGTGAGGTTCGCCTTGCGCACGCTCGAGCGGTGGGATGATCGTTGGTTGATGGTGTTTGACAATTGCGATGATCCGGCCACTTTCTCAGACGTTGAGCAGTTCGTCCCCCAAGGTATCTCGTCTGCGAACATCACTTGTCTCGATACTGACTTGGTTAGGAGGTAAAGGAGACATTCTCTTTACTAGTCGCCATCGCGGTCTAGGGGAACTAGGGACTATCATCGATATCCCGCCCATGCCGGACAAGGCAGGCGTCGAACTGCTCCTACATCGATATTCCGGCATCAATGTGAGCAGTTATATGTCCGAAGGGTCTACGATCGTGAACCGCCTAGGTGGTCTGGCCTTAGCCATCGATCAAGCGTCAGCATATATGGCGTACAAGCAGTTACCCATCGACCGATTGAGCGGTTTCTTAGGGCAATACGAAGCCCAGCGCGAAAAGGTGCTTCAGCACACGGCTGACTACTTCTGGAAATACATGAACATTGGTGAAGAAAGTGGACAGCAAACCGCCATCAACGCCTTCACCACGTGGGAAATGTCGTTCCAACAGCTTCTGGACGGCTGGCATACAGCGGGCTCGGTGGCACACTTTCTGACCGTTGCGGCGTTCTTGGCTCCAGTCCAAGTCAGCGAATGTCTGTTCAAGTTTCACCGCGAGCTGAGTGAGCCTCCACCGGATTGGGCCGACATTTTTGTGGCCTCAGGTGGCTCCGACGATGAGAGCTCATCCAGCGAGGCCGATGAAGATCTTGACCGCCAGGAGCACGTCACGCCTGACCCTTCCCGAACCATTCACGATGCTACAATACGTCGCTCTCAGGAGACCTGGGATGGTGAGCGATTCTGGCATCTCATCCGGCAAGCGTACCAGATGTCGCTACTGCATAGTATCGTACCGCCCACCCCACCTGGAGGAGCGACCTTGATCCTACACCCCCTAATCCGCGACTGGCTTCAGCTCCGAGTGGGCTCGAAAGACCGGCAGACTTATACTTACGAAGCTGTCGACATGATTGTCAGCTCTCTTCGAACTCTCGCAAACCGGGATAGCGATGCCACGATCAAGCGGTCGATTCTTCTGCATATGGACGCCGCTCTTGTGACGGTTAAAGGCTTCTTTCGAGACGGGCATCGACTCGGCCAAGATATTACGAGCTGCCAGAATGCGGATTGGTTCGCGTCGTTCTATCGAGATCAGGGCCGGTTTAATGCAAGTCTCGATCTGTATCGTACGGTGGTTGCGACGAGGGCGAGGGTGCAGGGCAAGGAGCATCCAGACACGCTGATGAGCATGAACAACCTCGCCTTGGTGCTAAGGGGTCAGGGGAAGTATGACGAGGCGGAGCAGATGCATCGAGAAGTGGTGGAAGTGCAGGAGAGGGTGCTGGGCCAGGAGCATCCAGACACGCTGATGAGCATGAACAACCTCGCTTTGGTGCTGAGCGATCAAGGGAAACATGATGAGGCAGAGCAGATGCATCGAGAAGTGGTGGAAGTGCGGGAGAGGGTGCTGGGGAAGGAGCATCCATCCACGCTGGCGAGCATGAACAACCTCGCCACGGTGCTAAGGGATCAGGGGAAGTATGTCGAGGCGGAGCAGATGCATCGAGAAGTGGTGAAAGTCAAGGAGAGGGTGCTAGGCCAGGAGTATCCAGACACGCTGACGAGCATGAACAACCTCGCCGAGGTGCTGAGGGGTCAGGGGAAGTATAATGAGGCGGAGCAGATGCATCGAAAAGTGGTGGAAGTGCAGGAGAGGGTGCTGGGCCAGGAGCATCCATCCACGTTGACGAGCATGAACAACCTCGCCGCGGTGCTGAGCGATCAATGCCAATACGAGGAGGCGGAGAAGATTCAGGCGGTGGTCGTTGTGGGGATGCTCAGAAATTTCGGGTTCGAGCATCCCTCCTTTGACATGTCTGAACAGGTTACTTGGCATATGGGAATACCAAGGCATGGAGGAGAGCGCAAGGGAAAAGTCACTTCTCGAACTTGTCGAAAATGGGGTGAGCAGGACTTCCTACCGGCACTCAGAACCGCAGATAAGTGCGGGGTGCGGGGTAAAATGTCCCCAATACTTAGAAGCTCAATGTGACGTTCTCAATTTCTTTGCGAAGCTCTATCCATCCTCCGGTCTCAGCAAACAAAATTTGCATGCGGATCACGATGACTGACCATGCCAGCCTGAATGTGTGTCCGACTTGTTCGAAATCGTACAAGCGACCGGAACATTTGCGTCGCCATCAAATCTCGCACCGCACGGAGCGCCCATACCAGTGCGAGCTTTGCAGTAGCCGATTCCAGAGGTCCGATGTGCTTAAGAGACATCTCAAGACATGCGACAGTATTGCCGACTCCGCCACATCGGATCCATCGGATCCATCGGAGCCTAGGCCTAAGAGGCTTGAGTTGTCAAATAACAACCCAGCACGCAATATTGATGCCTCCTTGCCGAACTCCCACGGAGCGGGGCATGAACTTCTGGCGGCGGCGGATGGTCACAGCCAATCAGTCGAGTACATTGGCGACGATTCTTTCGAGCATTTAAGCGGATGGATATCTTGCGGCCTGTCGGGTAGTCAGTGGGAAGGCCCAACTGATGGCTGGCAGGCGTTCCTGAACTTGACTTCAGGAACACAAACCCCTCACTCAGGCATAGACCCTGGCGAACCAGGTAAGGACATTGGTTCCTTGAGTTTCCTCGGGACTTTCACAAGCACGACTGGTTTGGTGTCCTCATTCGACTGCGGAACAATCGAACAAAGGCGACGGGTCAACACCCATATTCGGAATGAAACGGCAGTACCTAGTTTGGGCTGTTCGTCGACCAATGCGCTGTCGAGAGGCTCGTCTAATACTAGTGGTGCCTTCGTTGATGAGGCAACATGGTGCGAAATCAACACAGAATCTACTGTTGAGACGACCCTTAGTCGGTGGCTCTCGGATCCCTTGTCTTTCAAGTGCCACGAAATCATCACTTACATCAGGAACATTGTGCTACACAAGTCGAAGAACAGCTGCGTTACTCTAACCTGGTCACCCACAGTACACGAAACCTGTGCTCAGTTCTTCTCTCCGTCCAATATTCGGCGATATACACAGCTGTATTGGGCGATATGGCACCCGAACGTGAACATCGTGCACAAGCCGACGTTCGACACGGTGTCGTCGAAACCGGCGCTCCTCGCCGCCATGTGTCTGATGGGAGCGTGCGTTTCGCCCGAGCGAAATGATCAGGAGAATTCCAAGCGGTGGTTCAACTGTGTGGAGGAAATGGTCTTCGAAGACGACGATTTCTGCGACGATGCGCCGGCTCCTGTCTGTCGCGAGACCGGCGAGGCCAAGCGGCCCCTCGGAAAGCTTAGAGCTCTCCAGGCAGCCTATATAGTGTGTCTCTATCAGAACTGGGAAGGATCGAATTCGAGTAAGCGTCGAATCCGCCGGCATCGTTTCAGTACCATCATCGCCGTGGCAAGAGACATTGGCATTCACAATGCCAGACATCCAGATTACGGTCGCATGGACCTGTATGACTTCTCGTTCGCCAACTTCGTAATGACCGAAGAGTTGATCCGCGTGTTCCTGTGGGTGTTTCTGCTCGACACCGCCTTCGTTATCTTCAACAACCTGCCGCCGCGGATGGTGATCAGGGAAATGAAAATGAGTACAGCCTGTCCTGAAGCATGTTTCCAGGCCATGACAGCTGAGGGATGCTTCAATACCATACAGCGCGAGAACAGAACCAACGGACTGCGGTCCACGGTCGCGTCTGATTTTAGTGCAGCCTTTGAGCTACTCTACACAACCGACATAGACGATGCCCTGAGCATCGCAATTGCCAACCTCGGACCGCTCAACCTCTTCGCCATGACCTCTGCACTGCATTCTCTGATATTCCACTATCAAAGCTCCTTCAGCTGTCAGGGTTCGCTATATCCGATCCAAAATGCCCTCAAGGCTTGGGGAAAGGTGTGGCATGTCTATGCGACTCGGTCATCCCTTGACCCCTGCCACTCCACCGTAACATCCGACATGGACCTTCTTACGCCCAGTGACATGTGGAAGCGCGTGGGGTTCGTGCGACATGCAGACGAGTACTGCCACCTCGCCGACCTCATGGTACAAAGACTTTCTGCGCTACTCGCGGACGGCACAGAAACCATCATCAACGCCGCGGGACAAGCGCGGAGTGGCTCGACCGTCTCAGGGAATATTGAGTCTATCAGCCCTCTGCTCGACAAGTATGACGAGACTAGCATGCAACAGGTGAATAAACTGATCTCGGACTTTGTCAAAGTTCGAATACATTGATATTAGCCTAATCACCATGTACAAACAGTTTGGACCGGCCCCCCTTTTGGTCTTAGGGAGTAGCCCTCCCCAAGAAATGTATGGAGCCAACAATGGTACTCTCTAATACATAATAAGCTCAAGCCTGCTGGAACCTGGAATTGTCTCGTGTTTCATCCTCCATTCTATTATGTGCAGCCTCACATTGTGGACTAGTCCGGTCCGGTGTATCATTACTAAGAACAGTGAGCAGTGCCCGTCCTCCCTACGAACTCTCAAACGACTGATAGCCCGCACTCTACTAGGTAAGCTTACAGTTCTACTTCCAGGCTAGACATTAGACGGTGCATCAGCGCATCTTAGACTGAACTTCTCTTCTTTGCTTCGTATCGTTGCTTGCTTGAGATATGCTTGCAAGCTGTATCGGCAAGCCACACCTTTTCCAAACAGTTTTAACCTATGCCTCGACACATATGCACCGTCAGCACGTGTCTCCTCCACGTCCGCACGACCATCCACCGTGTCCGGATTTACCATAACCGGCCGGCGACAACTTATAAGTATTTCCTGTTTGGTAACAAGGCCCACAGGTTGGTTATCAGGTCTAAGAGATATTGGGCGGTAGATTTCCCAAGAAAGACCATAGGCTGTTGCAGAACCAGAGTTGGTCCAAATGGCTGGTTTCATCCAATAATCATGGCCGGTCCATGGTAGCAATGTCGCTGGGTACAGCAGGGACCGAAGATAGATGGCCAGGTAGTTCGGGGTGCTGTAGAGTGCGAAAATGGCAGACCTCTACGGACATATTGCGCGATTGCACGGAGGACTTGTCCTATTTAGACGAGGGCCGGGGACGTCGTCAGACTATATACTATCGAGGGTTATACGACGCACTTACAACCCATACCGAGCTATCTCGACGTCTTTATAAGCCTTGCGCCTTCGACGCGCCTTGGAAGCGCCCCGATAGATTTTCTCTGACTATCGCTAGAAAGTCCTTAACATTACTGCTATTATCACCGTCTTCATCGAAATCTCGAAGTCCAACCACTCCCCCCGCCCGCCCCAATCGCCGCCCTCCCCCCCAGCAGGTCGTGTCTCGACTAAGTGCACCTTGATCATTGACATCCTAGGTTAAGAACATATTACCATATGTAAGAGCAGTAGTATGTATACTACCGACCGATAGACTGACTACGCCCACCGTGTCCGAAACCTGATTAGAATTGTAGCGTGGTCTCTTGACTCCGGTCTGGCTCTTTACGTTTCCCAACCCGAGTTCTCCAGAAGAATTTCTCCGAAAACGTCGACATTCAACTTACCTTATATGCTCCGGAGGGGAGGCTGGGACAAGATAGAAGGTAACATGCCTATTGCAATTGTCCATTCTGCATGGCACTAACCTAGCGAACCATAGAACGCACACCTGCATTCCTTCGCGAGGCCGGTCTGGACCAATCACGGCATCTCATAGATCGCTGTAGCCAGGTTGTTGGATACTACGTTAACAAGCAGGCGTCAAAGAAGCGCCCAATACGCTCGGGAACACACGTAAATAAGCATGGCCAAATGTCAGCAGTCGTTGTCTTTGTACAAGGCTCTTCCGAACGCACCTAGTGATGCCTCCCGCCCCCACCCCCTCACACTCCCACTCCCACTCCCACTCCCTCTCATCCGTCGGTCGTTGCGGCGGTATATTCATCACCTGCGCTTGTCAGCTAGATGGTTCTCGCAATTGCATCGGAAGACTTCCTGCGATTGACGTATCGTTCTGACATCCGCGTTGGAGAAATGCATCTCCATTTCCCCGGGATAGGAGCCCCCTTATCGTGGGGTTATAAAACGCAGGCGCTGCTGAAAATATCTCTCTGGTAGGACTTCACTGAGAATACCTTTCCATTCGCAGTATCCTGCTTCCGTCTTGGCTCAATAGCGCATAGGATCTGTTCCTATCCCCTCCCTGGATTTCTGCAACCGCCCAAGGTCGTCAGCACATATGATGAGTAGTACCAGTGCCCCAACCATCAAACCCCAGCCCGGGACGGTGGAAGACCTTGACGCTCTCATCGTCGGTGCCGGCTTTGGTGGAGTCTATCAACTTAGGAGGCTCCGCCAGGAAGGATACAAAGCCAAATTGGTTGACTCTGCATCTGATTTCGGTGGCGTCTGGTACTGGAATCGATACCCTGGAGCACGCGTTGACAGTTCCATCCCTCTCTATGAGTTCTCGGATGCGGGGCTCTGGCGCGAGTGGTCCTGGAGTCAGCGGTTTCCGGGCTCCGAAGAGCTACGGGCTTATTTTCGCTTCGTCGCTCAAAAGTGGGATCTGCAAAGGGATACATACTTCAATACGCTTTCAGCGCTGCGACATGGGATGACAATGAAGCAAAATGGTTAGTCAGCACTCCTCATGGAAAGCAATTCAGAGTAAAATACTTCCTCTTGAATACTGGCTTCGCCGCAAAAAGGCATGTTCCTGATTGGAAAGGAATCGACAAATTCAAAGGCACTTGGCTACATCCGTCATATTGGCCGGAGGATGAGCTAGACTTAAAGGGCAAAAGGGTCGCCGTCATCGGGACAGGATCAACGGGCATTCAACTCGCTCAAGAGCTTAGCAAGGTGGCAGGGGAGTTCGTCCTGTTTCAAAGAACACCAAATATGGCTCTGCCTATGAAGCAAGTCGAGTACGTCGGAGATGAACAGGCCTTCTCAAGAGATGAGTATGCCAGATTTATGGAGGACAGACTCCACAGCTTCGGAGGCATGGCATTCAACTTCGTCGACCGACTTACCTTCGACGACACTCCAGAGCAGCGACAGGCCTTCTATCAACAACTTTGGAATGAAGGCGACTTTCACTTCTGGTTGGCTGGATACAAAGATACCCTCTTTGATTGGGACGCCAATGCAGAAGCCTACACCTTCTGGCGTGATAAAGTCAGAGCAAGAATCAGGGATCCGAATTTACAGGAAGTTCTGGCCCCGACGGTACAGCCTCATGCGTTCGGATGTAAGCGCGTATCGTTGGAGAACAAGTATTATGAGATCTTCAGTGAAAGCCATGTTTCTCTCGTGGACGTCAAGTCCACTCCGATTGTTGAAGTGACTGAGAATGGGATCAGGACGACGGAAAAAGAATGGAATTTCGACTGTATTATCTGCGCTACGGGGTATGATGCAATCACCGGCGGTCTGAATGAAATCGATATTCGTGGAAAGTCCGGACAAAAGCTGAAGGACAAGTGGACGCAAGGAGTCAGAACATTTCTAGGCATGGCCGTCGCGGGCTTCCCGAACATGTTCTTCACATGTGGACCTCAAGCGCCAACAGCTTTATGCAACGGTCCGACTTGCGCAGAGCTACAAGGGGAATGGATCCTCCATTTGATGAATTATATGCGCCAAACGGGATCGAAGTCGGCCGAGGCACGAGAAGAGGCGGAGAAGACCTGGGCTGAAAGTGTCAAAGCAATTGCCAATATGTCGTTATTGCCAACGGCAAAGTCGGTGAGTTATGCTTCGTCTCAGGGACCCAACCTTTGTCTCTCAACTTACTGACGCAAATCATAGTGGTACATGGGCGACAATATCCCGGGGAAGGTCAGAGAACCATTGATCTACCTTGGTGGCGTTCCAACCTACTACAAAACGGTCAACGAATGTGCCGCAGACGGCTATGCAGGTTTTCATCTGGCATGACAAAGTCAGGTCCACGGATCGTGGAAGACATTGGTTTTTCAGCCGCGCGGAGACTATCAATCCACACAGTCCAAATCTTCGGTTTGTTGGCTTATGGCTACATCTTTGGTCTAGTGATCCTGTAATGCAGATACTCCCAAGTCTCTCGTCGTGCTAGTCAAGACGTTCTGCGACCGCTTGAATGGTATCCAATAACGGCACAGCATGCCAGTGCTTACACTTGCACGATGCTTGTGGATCCCGGCGAAGCTTCTCCCTTTAATGTATTCGTTAAGAGAGCAGAACTTGGTTTCAGTAATGTACTTCCAGTCAACGTGGCACCAGACAACATTGACTGCTAAGCTCATAATTGAAGGAAAGGAGGTTGCAGAGACGATGCACATGCAGGCTCATTCTGGCAGATCAACCTCGCGGCCTAGGGTTGGACAACGACAGTTGTTACGGGGTGGGTCCTTTGCCGTATCGCGTCTATGAGCATCCCACCTCCCACCTCCTCATGACAGAGGGGGAGTTTCATTCCACCTCCACACTCGCAGATCTGATCCGGCTACGCGGACACCATTTGCGGAATCCCTGGTCACCATATGAAGTCTCGTTTGAGTCAGAAGGATCGCGGCAACTCTCGGTGTACAGCCATGGCCAGATCGAATCAGCAAGTCTTCCGTCGCATCGAACATTTGCGCCGATTTCAAAGGACCAATTATAGCGGGCTTGTACTCTCTTCTAGCCCTGTTGATCGGCTTCCAGCGTCTACTATCAATAGGTGGAGACCGAAAAGCTATCCACCAGGACCTCCTACGTTGTCAGTTCTTCATCAGGCACGGCCACCTTCCGCTGTTGGGATGCTCATGATGGTATGCCTACAGATGTCTTCCTCATGATTATCTATAGACTTCTCGATATCAACATATCCATATCGTGTATACTATGTCAGATGCTCGAAAACAAATGCATATTATACCAACTTCTAGAGCAGCCCGGCGACTTTCCTAAGTACATCCGGAGGTGTTTGAAATACTTTGTCCACCACGATGGTTCTTTAGATGGAGGATGCCCACGTACGAAGATGCAAGTATTTGAACACCTAAAGTCGCCCACGATGTAGGATAACAGCTCAATATTCGAGCAATTTCAAGTCTAGTTCGTGAAGACTAACTTAGCTTCCTGCTATCCATCTGGACCTCAATCCTATCTGAGATGTCCATCAACATTCCAGGGGATCAACATCATCTTAAAAGTACCCAGAACTCCGTTCTTTCACACACATAGTCTTGAAGAACTCTGGCTGAGTGAGGGTTGGAAGAGTGGTGCGGACTGCTCACAGGATATGGCTACGGGTTTGACTTAAATATATCGCACTCTGTGCCCAAGCCTTCACCTCCGCATCAACTTCTCAAGCCACTTTTCTCAATTTCGACTGGGAAATGACTCCTGAATCGAAAAACAGGCGACGTCAGAATGACTGCGTACCCTGTCAACAGAGCAAGTCAAGAGTATGACTACCCGTCGCCTCGCGGTTCGTATGAGACATTCACAGCTTCCAAACAGTGCGACGGAGGAAATCCTTGTGCAACTTGCAAGAGGAGGGACAAGCCTCTATGCAGTTATAAGCTGCCACCGGAGACCTTTGGCCGGTTATCATTGCCGAAGCCATAATCGAAGTGAGTTCTCGGCCCCTTTCAATGCATGGAAGACTACGGAACTGAACAAAGCTTTAGTACCGAGGGCCCGCACTTAGGGACACTTCCAGAGTGCTCTTGTCTACATTTCTTGACGATGAGACTGCTCAAGCGCACTCAGTGGATGAGAAACCTATTCTCTCAACTCTGAATTGTGACTCAAAGCCTCTGAACGACCTCTATTCACGATGTCTATCAGTGCGACGCCTCCTCTATACCAGCACCCTTACCCCACTGTCCGTTGAATGTTGCATAGAAGACTCTTGAGAGGTGGAAATCCAAGTACCAAGACTTCTGAAAAAGTCCTGCCTCCTGAACTGTGGTAGTTTTGTTTGGGTTATGCTCCAGCCATAGCCTGGCAAGGACTAAGACAGCCACATAACTAACGTCACGCACCGATACCCATATACACTTACCAAGCCATGGTCTCTACAGGGACAAGCAACGATAAATATTGCACCCAAGACTTGTTTGGCAGGAAACAACTCTGTCTCCCTTCCTCTCTCTATCACCGTCTAACCTTGGGTTCCGCATTTTGTCTAGTTATTATTCTCCCAATGGAAAACCAAGATTCCGAACAGTCCGATGAACTGCTGTCAAAGCCGGCTCATGCCCTTGAACGAGATGTCATACTTGAAGAGTTAAGAGCTAATTCTGTTGACGGCCTGACCCCCGCCGAGGCGAAACTGAACCATTCCTCCGTACGTGTTTTCAGGCTCGCTGACCCCAACGGCCCCGAGACGGATGTCCACTCTCTTTGGCAGGTTAGAGATACCTCCTTCAATCTCACCAACAGTCCAAATCGCAGTCCAGTGAATGTCCTCAGCATGTCTCGCAACTCTTGCCGCAGCATTTGTGCCATAGACACCCGAGGCTAGCCAGGCAAGGACCACATTGTGTTCATGAACCCGACCCAGCACATAGTTATTGGGTCCAGTTTGTGGTGACCCTGATCTGCCGATGCCGCTCATCCGGAGTGGCTATGTCCGCACTCATCTCATCCGGGAGAGCTCACACCACGCACACCTGATATTGGCCGATCGGCAGAGAACGTCTTGTAGCCATTTTGTGTCGGGTTTCGGACGACGGTAGGCAGGGAGGAAGAGAGGAATCACAGCTGCAGGGAGATTCGGAGGTTCAAGATGTGGCGATCAGGCTGAGAGTGATAATTAAGGCCCCGGCCTTGACGAGGCTCTTAGCACCACGGTGGTCAGCTATGAAAGACACGCAAGTAAGCCAGCCGATCGTTCGAAGATAGGAAGGCAATCATGACGTCAGGAACCATCAGTGCCACCGCAGTGTATCCGGTCAACTTGGGATTCTTCTTAGGCCTGAATTGCGGAGCCTCTCTTCTCAGCTGGGTCAGGGCTAAAATCGACCTTGGCTTCGAATGACCGCTTTCGGTTAGAGTTCAATAACGGAATCCCTACCCCTCCCTTGAAATGCTTGTCATTCGCTTCAACTCACAGAATACGAGGTACCCGCCAGTGTACTTAGCTGACACTCTGCGCTCAAGAGCATGATGTCTCGCACAACTCTAGCGCCAACAACATGCTGGCTTCGATGCAGCTTTCCTTGCTTACTGGCTTCTTGCTACCAACCTGCTTGGTTGGAGCGGTTTCGCAGCAGGATGTGCAGCAAGCTGTCGACAGGCTCGATGATCTCATTCAGTCTGTGCTCAATGACACAGAGGTCCCCAGTATCGCCGCTGCGGTCGTCTACAATGACTCTATCATTTACGCCAACGCCTTCGGAGTGCGGGAAGTGGGAAGTAACGAGTCAGCGACACCAGAGACCGTGTATCAATTGGCATCTCTCTCAAAACCAATCAGCTCGACCATAGTCGCCCAGCTTGTTAGCGATGGCTATCTTGACTGGTCGTCTAAAACCAATGAGCTTGACTCGACGATCGAGCTCTCAGACCCCTGGATCACACGGGAGGTCACTATCGAGGACCTCTTTTCTCATCGCAGTGGATTGTTTGGTGGCGGCGGCGACGATCTAGAATCATTCAACTACAAACGCTCGGAGATTTTGTCAAGGATGAAGTACCTGCCCGACAGGCTCTTTCAGGATTACATATCAATATAGCAACTACGGCATCACCATGGGCGCTGTTGCAGCCGCTGCCGCTGCAGGGCTTTCTTGGGAGGAAGCTGCATCCCGTTTCTACGAACGTTGCAACATGACATCTACCACCTCAGAAAACGATAAGTTTCGGGGAGAGTGCGACCGTGCATCGCTCCACGTCCGTGCTGGGAATGGAACCAACTTCAGCGCGCCATACATCGTCGCTCCTGACCGCAATCCCGATCCTCAAGCTCCCGCAGGTGGTGTAGCAGCCAATGTAATCGACCTCGCACAATGGCTGCGGCTACAACTCGGCAATGGAACGTGGAATGGCGACGAGATCGTGTCTTCCGAGGCTTTGCTGTACACTCACCAACCACAGATCAACCGCGGTCTCGATCCTGCCTCGAATCGAACAGCATTCTACGGCTTGGGCTGGAATATCGACTATCAACCCTCTGGTCGCGTCTTTATCGGACACGCTGGTGCATTCACGTCTGGCACGCGGTCGTATGTGAGACTGAATATCGCGGATGGTATTGGAATAGTTGTGTTGAGTAATTGCTGGCCGACAGGTACACCAGATGGGATTGCGTATACTTTCATGGACTGGGTATATCAAGGAGACCAGAGCGAGACCACGGACTGGGTATCCTTCTGGGACGATCTCTACGAGCAACTCAATGAGGCATTTGTAACGATGGATCCCGGCTTTGCTGTCACGCCGGTGCATGGTTCTGCGCCATTGAAAGGGTCTGATGTGTACGCTGGGACGTACAGCAACGACTATGTGGGAATTGTACAGGTTAAGGGAACAGACAATCAAAACCTAACCATGGAAATTGGTGGTAGATCGCTGCTGCTGACGCATTGGGACCGAGATGTCTTCATCATGAGACCCGTACCTGAGCATCCAGAACACCCTACAACCGTCACATTCAGTGTTGGTCCTGGCGGTCAAGCTCAACAAGTGCTTATTGATGTACTTAATGGAGATGGAGGTGGTGTTTTGAGTAGAGAGACAAAGGAGTAGTCGTAGTCACACTTTGGTCGTCATCATCACTGATTAAGAAAACTCATTGTACTGCCGATTCATAACTTGCGTCGGAGTCCATTACCAGTGATTTCCGCACCAAGATTTTCCACCTAGGTTTAGCGAACGGGGCAGAACTCTACTTAAAAGGATTTATGAGGATGCAGTCTGCTTTCTCACAATGGAACAGGTTGCCACTCCCGACGACCTTCGGGCTCGCGTCTGACGTGTCAGGTTTATCCGCCAACTTATGGTCTCGAGTAAGAAATAGTTTGGTGTACTTAGTCCGGGGTATAGGATAGTCGGTCTCGACCTGATCGTAGACAGGATACTAAAGATCTCGGCATCAGCATATCTCCGCTACTAAGACCAATATACATACTTTATCTCCATAGCGGTACAGCGAGACGCGCACTTTTGGAGCTGCTTCCCAGCCCTTTTCTTCGCCCTTGAGATACCTTACGAAAAAACGGTCCAGATCCTGGACGGAGGAATGATAATAGTCTTCGTACCACTCTTGATGCGGGTGGAGCTGGAGCCATTTCTTGTCTGTATTCGTATCTCGCCACGCTCTTATGGCTCCTACCTTCTCATGAGCCACCTCCTCCACGGGATTCACGTAGTTGAACGTTACCTCCCATTCCCAAGCAGTAAAGGTTTTCTGATCATAAATCGAATGCGTCGTGATTTTGAGGTTGTCAACGGAACCGAAAACCTTGGCGAAATAGGCCCCCATGGCAGCTTTGTCGAGGTCGAGTACGCCAACTCCTATCTGGATTCAGTATGCATTACTGTGGTGAAAAAGGTGACGGAGCGAAGTCAGAGAAAGAAACATCTTCTGACATGAAAGACATGAGGTCCTCGACGGAGCCTATTTTTCATGCTGCCTCGTATTCTTTTAGGTGTTTATTGATTGGTGCTTGATTAGTATGATGCGACTCCATACTGGCAATGTGATAGGGATGAGCTCTTGAATGTGAGGAGTGATTCCAGAACAGAAGTGAACAAGAAAGCTGTTTTGCTTTTACTAAATATGCTTACGATTTGAAATTAAAAGCTTCGCATGGATGGTATCTACTAGGCATTTCTTCTACCCTGGTCTTGAGAAGTTTAAGTCCACGGTGGAAGGAGGGTTTCCAGGCTCCAATGTCGTAAAACCCCTTCCGGATCCATCTACAACTGGCCATCAGACCAGGTCTCGTGGCAATTTTACACTTACCATCCCTCTGTGCCGCAAAGTGGCAGATATATTAGACATTTTGAGCTCATTCATCAGCCTACTACAGCGGCAGACCCATCCATGATTAATGAAGTTGGGCACGTGGTCCTACACGCAAAATCTGGCTCGGTCGGCTGAGCCAGAGATCGAGAAGCAGAATCTTGTTTGCTAATGGAAAGGTTGGCTCACGTCAAGAGAACCAATTGAGTGCACCCTACCCAAGATTGGCGGCTGCAGAATACGAGCCCGCGAGCTTGGTGGCTCATGTCTGGGGAGGTGGAGGTAATCACAGCCCACCGCTTATAAGTTGCAACTGCAATATAAAATAATCCTTGTAGGAGACTTGCAGGGTAATTGGACCTCTGCATTCTGGAGGATGTAGGGGAGACTATTATAAGTTTCAGATTGAATGAAGTCATCTTTGAGCGAAGACATCTTGCATGATGAGGTCGAAAGTTGTTTTGGCGGGAAGCGAAGCTAACAAAGATTCTCAACAGAAAAAGGTTTCGCTTATAGAATAAAGTATCTCGGCCTCAAGCGTAAAGTCGATGCAAGCGGTCTTCGCTTAGCCCCCGCCAAGATACCCCGCTTTCAGCCTCGTAGTCCTGGACCTTCAGCTTACCTCTGACAGCTCGGCCATGTGGCTTCGATAGGAATGTCTATTCTCATGTTTTGCGTGGCTGATGACGCAGTACGCTCTCGGGAGGCGAAGGAAGACCCTGGCACACCGAGTTGCGAAACCAGATAGACGATCTTGATGCAGTAATCACGCAATGGTGGTAGATAATATGTAGTGTCAAAAGGGATCACCTAGGCCGCAAGTGTGCTCGTTTGCGTATACGGCGCCATGTTCAGCTGAAAAGCTTTGGACCGTGTGTTTCTGGGGAGGCTGAGGCAGCTTTTAGTTCACCCATCTACTATGTTGCGCATAGCGCCTGCATTGGTCGCCCCGCTTGCCGAAAGAATAAGAACCCGGTCGAGGTGCGAATAGGCTGAGCTTCACAGGTGCTGAAAGCTGAGAACCCTCAGCTGAGGCTGTCATTCGTGTTCTTGCAGATATCGAAAGTTGATTGGGTCGTCAGAGAGGCCTGTCTAGTCGTATCTTCGGATGCCGCAATGGAGAAAATGTATCTGTCCCAAGTCGCTTAAGATGCCTCGTCTGCTGATAGAAATGGTAGAGAAAGGGTCCTTTTCAGTGAGCGGGCCCGCGGATCGAAGAAGATTCTCATACGGCAGCGGGCTGAGCGGAACATGCAGCAGTAGGCAAGCTGAGGTTGACGTATTTGATTGGCTGATGTGCAGACACGGGAATGGGGAAAGAAGTTTTTCCTGATGCAGAGGCCGAAGTCTCATCGACTTGACAGACTGGAAAGAGCCCGAACTCAAATTTACGAAGATTTCTTCCCTACAGAGGACCGATATTGGTCGTAGGCAGAACTCGTGCTCGTGTTTTGCCTCCCCGGGTCCGCTCTTGGGGAAAACTTTCAGCCTTGCCAGCTAAAGCACTAGACTTCTACCCCGCGGCGAAGCCTGTCGAAAGCTTGGACCTAATTTGCTCCGACGCAATGAAATGGTATGGAAGGGCTTAGAACGCAACACTCGTTTGCCTCGTTGCCTTGCTGCGGAAAGCCACAAGCTATTGTGTGATTTTGTTTGTATTGGTGGAGCCGGTGGTGGCTGGCGGGCAGGCAGATGCTTGATCAAGTAAGCCACGCCAGTAGAGGAGTACCTCACCGTTACTCGGAAAGAGTATGCTTACTTAGAACTGTCGCGTGACATAATTATCTCTTGCTGAAGCATGTAGATCTGCCATAAAGCAGTAAGCATAAGTACAACTACAACAGCCGTTGTTGTCAGGACTTCCAACTAGTTGGATAATATCTCCCTCAATATCCTTAGACACCATTCCCTTCCAACCAATACGTCACTCCTTGTACGATCCGTAGCTACCGTAAGACCCATAGGGATTTCCTGCGCCAGCGGGCTTGATGTCCTTATAGGAGCCATAGTCTCCGTATTTGCCGTACTTGCCATAATCTGCGGGCGCTGGCACTGGCACTGGCTCTGGCTCTGGCTCTGGCTCTCTCTTCTCGGGGCTTCCTATCTCGTCTCGCTTGTAGGCTCCATAGTCTCCGTAGCTTCCATAGGGGTTCGGCGCTCTGAATGTCATCGTTAGGAATCTAATGGCAGTCCGCGAGCAGGGAAATTTAGGGCATTACCCGGATGCAGGGATATTGCCGTATTCTACGTAGTCGGCGTAGGCGGGCAGGTTGTAGTCTGGGTCTCACATCAATTTCGCTGGGCGTCGTGAAGATGGAAAAGAAGACTTACCCCCATAGTTGCCATAAGAACCCTGAGGTGCTGCAATGACTCCTGTCAATGGCACCATGGCCAGAAGGAAGAAGGAATTGATGCTGACGCGCATCTTTGCCTTTGAATGGGATGCTGAAGAGTTGACTCCAGTTCTTTTGATCTAAGCGAGCAAGTCAGTCTTTTAATAGTTAAGTTGACATCTTGCATAGTCTTGCTTCTCAGCTCGTTAGTCTTGTGATCCAGCGGTGACTCACCCAAGGCCATATCACTATTTAGAAACTTTTTGTTAGTCATGTTGCATTAGATCCTGCTAGCGTTTGACCGCAAAGATAGATCAAAGCTAGAGCAAGGTGTTTGTCTTATATAATCGAGTTTCAACTCGCTTCAGAGAGAAGCACGATTGGCTATAATATACGAGGCTCAAAACAACCATTGCCTGTCACTAGCGAAAGCATTGTGAAGACCCCACCAACTACGCGGCTAGAATCATCTGTTTGTCAAGAGAGCTAGCGAGTAGTAATTGACAGGCCGTGCTTATACACCCTTCCCGTTCTGACCTCTTCCGTAGCTCCCACCCAGAAATCTTGCCTGATATATACCCTTCTAGGACCGATCACATATGATCGGCTCGAAACGTGGGACTTCAGCCGTAAGGACACAAGGACAGTATTATATCATCCGACGCACTCCAACCCCGAGCATCAGTCCGAAAAGGATCAGAACGGTATATGGTAAGTCGTATATGTCCCACCTGTAACGAAAATAATGTCAGACCCGTATTCAGCTTCTGGACGATGATGCTGTGGAGGTGTCAGAAGACACAAAATCAAATAATAGATTCCTATCGGCATTGAACATTGTAGCTCTCCCGGCCTCGTTTCGATTCCGCGCCAAGATAAAGGCTTAGGCAGAATGCGAGGTGGGAAGTTTAAGACTGCGTGAATACACCATAGCACGCAGCTCTTACATGGTCGCTGCATCCTGACAGGGGCAATCAAGAACGCAGATACCGCCGGAATGATGGTCTAGCATAAAGCTGGTAAAGCTAAGAACGTTTTAGAGTTTCCCCCGCGTAGAGTATACGAGGTGCGTCTTGGCTGCCTATCCTCGCTAGTGATAATGGCCTGGCCTCTTCCAACACGACGGCTGCCCCTTCGATTTTGAACTAGGTTTCAATATTTATCTATAGGAAAGACCCATCGGTGTTCCGGTACCAGTCTCCTTCTATACTCACAGACCCTCGATTCTAATAGAAGGTCCTCTTACTAGGCGGCTTGCCTCTAGCCACGCTTTCTCTACGAGACAAGATGAAGGCCTCATCCCAATTCCCCGATGCTGGAGATGATCATGAAAACCTTGCGAGCGAAGATGAGGCAATGCTCGGGGTGAGAGCCCCGCTCAGGATGAGACACGCCTACTCAGCATATAGTATATGCACATCTCTATGTCTTGCCTTTTTCATTGGACTCGTTCTGGGACTCCTTAACCGCTGCCGCCTATACTCACCCAGTTACAATCAATGTGTTAGGCTGACGACCCACGCCAGTGAGTGTTGCTAATTCTAACCGAAGCCACTGTTACTGAGTCACCAGGCCCCCTCCTTGAGGATATAAGGATATCCTACAAGGAGTCGACCTATAATGGCACCTTTATGACGGAGAATATCTACAGGCAATTAGCCGCTCTGGAGGTCGATGAGGCATGGGAGGCACTTGGTGTCAACTGTGAGTTTCTATGCCAGTATTACGTTGCGTGCCGGCTAAGTGATATGTAAGACAGAAGTGTCAGAATATCACCCAACAGAGCAAAAGCAGCAGGCTTGCGAAAAAACCAAGTCCAGATCAACTCGAAGTATGGCGGAGGCTTTCCAGCAAATGTGGAGGGTTTGCACCACTTGCATTGCCTGGTGAGGCAGGCCCTTCACATACGACCGAGTCTGTTCTGACCATCATGGTAGAATCTTCTTCGACAAAGCTTATATTATAACTTCGACTATTATAAGGCTAAGAGAAAGGGTGCATTCAAAAACGCTGACGATATACTGAAACTCCATGTTTGTAAGTAGGCCGAGCTCTCCGTGGGGTGGGCCATGCTGACATGATGACAGCGCACTGCCTCGATATCCTACGACAACAACTCATGTGTACGGTCGATGTAGGTGTCTTCGGCCAAGTCTGGTACAGGCCATCGCCTGATTCGATGCCAGCGGCCTTTGTTGACTTCAGCACTCAGCACAAATGTCGAAGTTATGATGATATTCGTAGGTGGGCAGAGGCAAGGCAGCTACCGGAGGATGTGCCAGAAGATTTCCTTCAGCCACCATATGACGACTCGATCATACTTGATGGCGTGCCATAGAATAGGATTTGCACGAGCATAACGAGGATACAGGTCTGCTATGAGCAGCAAAAGCGCACTACCGTCAACAGAGGCCCATACCATTGCAACGCACCAAGAATTCCTTACCACCCGTGGTCACACTACACGGGTACTAGCTCTGTGAGGTAGTGGAGGTTCTACCTGTCTCGAGTGATTCTCACTTCAGTATCGCCTTCGCACAACGTTCCGCAGATCGTCGGTACCTCGTCGGTGGCAGTTACAATCGAAGTTTAAGCATGTCAAAAAAGCTAAGACCGGTTCACTACCAGTGATAAGTCTCTTACAGCCTTTCTCTTTGATGACGTGTTGAGGTCCTTCTCCACTTCTAGATCAGATATTTAGATCGCCAAATCCTATAGCGCTAGAGTCGCTTCGGGCATAGGGCCGGAGCTTTTGTATGCCGTTGTGCTGGACCCTTCGGCTTACAAGAACTTTCCAGATATACCCGGTCCGCTAAATCCTCCTCTAGGTTTGTTTGGCTTTCTTGAAGCTCGCTCCCCGGACTGAGCTTTTGCGGGGTCAGCAATGATTTGCCTCTTGGAAATGTGCGCAACTCTCCCTCACTGTTGGTGGAATGCGATGCGTTACTAGGAGTATCATTGATGCATGCAGCCCCTTACAGCACTTGTACAATACACTTCGACCAGCGCCAGCTTAACACTCTTAAGTTCTTGCTGTTCTTCTGCGTATTCGACAAGCCTCCCGGACCTTCGGTCTCATTGACTTAGCTTTGGCTGCAACTCTCATGATCAATCGGATTTTGTTGTACATGCGTGCACGATCTTTCTTCCTCCGCATAGTCAGTCTCGATGATCTCAGGTTCGACGTCTGTGTAACGCTTTTCCCTGAGATTTTGGTTCCTTTTCAGCTCTCGGGAGCGACGGCACTGTTCACGTCCACATAGAAGCGATGCTTATAATCGCTCAAGACCAGAGGTTGCAGACCTACGACGAAGACTTTTTTGATTATATTACTTCGTCGTCTGCTATAGGGTAATACCTTTCAGGGTGTGGAGTAAGGAGCTCCGGATACAAAGGCCAAGATCAGAACACCAACCTAACGACAGACATTGCCCTGGCCTTCGCCCCTTTCTTCTTCCAACCTTTGCAAACATCGGCTGGAAGTTCTTCCTAGTCTTCATCAAAGGATGTAAAGCCTCGGTCGCAAACCATTGAAATCGCGAGTAAGGCGACTGCTGTCTACGACTCTGCTCTAGAAGCTAAAGACGCGCAATCTGCTCCTGCAGTTCCCAATCTCGCAGTTGCGCCTCCAACAGTCATGAATGCTGCGCTTCAAAATGGAAGCGAAGCGTCTCTGAGGAAGGCTATCGTCTTAGCAACAGGATTTCCTGCCGAGAATTTTGTAAAATTTGAATCGCAAGATGACGATACTGCAGGGAGCAAGCTTCGAGCAATACCCGAATCTACCCCTGCGGGCGCATCGGATTCGCCTGAAAATCAGGAGACGATTTCTCTGAGTGCACCCAGCAAGGACTCGCTTCTATACGATGTTATTGTGCAACACTTATCGTGGGATCAGACCGAATACTTAAGCTACAACCATTTTGCGACAGGGCGAGACAGGTCCCTCTACATCACAGTGAGTGATGACGAGTGGGAAACCACTCTCGACGGCGCTCGTGAGACTGTCTTAGCCTCTGACGATACTGAGACTCGGCTCTTGTTGGGCCCGCGATGCACTGCAGCATGTGCTTGTGGCTCAAATTAATAGACTCCGGACTTTCCGTCAGGCTTTCCGATCCGTGAATGTTCATATCCGGAGGACAATATTCGCAGAGGTGCTCTGAGCGTCATCACCTATCTTGCTGAACAGAGCCATCCGGAAGCCTTGTACTTACAGGCCAAGTATTGGGATGCGAAACAGGTCGGGGGCGAGCTCGCCGAGAAGAAAAGCCTGGAACGATTCAAGACCATCGCAGACATGGGGCACGCAGGAGCCTGCTATCGGGCGGCACTGGCGCTGGAAGCTACAGGCGAAGGACAAACGAGTGCTGCGTATTACGAGAAGGGCGTGGCTGCCGAATCAGCTGGTGCACTCTATGCCACTGGCATGAAGACAATGAGGGGCACCAATGGGAAAGCACCAGACATCAGGTCTGGCATGGAGCTCTTCTTCAAAGCTGCGGAGCATGCCGACGCAGACACCCCAGAGGTCCTTTACGAGCTTGGTCTGATCTACGCCAACGAGTCACTTCTCCTTGAGGGCACGAAAAATCCCACGCCAAGAGACAAAAAGGGCGCCGTCGACTATCTCCAGAAAGCCGCATCTTACGCTCTGCGCAGGCCCAGCTTCGACTTGCGCGTGCATACGAGTTTGGCGAACCTGGGTTTGGAGTGAGCCTTTCCCTGGCCTTGCACTATTACCTTCTAGCAGCACGAAGAGGTGAAGCTGAGACAGAAATGAGCATCGGTAGGATCATGCTTCACATTTTTCGCCCATAGCGCTGATCCCCGAAAGGAGCTGTCGCACGCAACGTATGCGTACGCTGCGCGTGCAGCTCTTGACAACCTTCCGATTGCACTATTTGCTGTGGGCTACTATTATGAGAGAGGCATACACGTTGTTGCTGATACCCAAAGAAGCGCTCTCGTGGTACGACAAGGCAGCCGCGCGCGGCAATGCCGATGCGAAGGAGAGGATCGCCAAGCTTTTAAGAGGAGAGCAATCAGCGCCACCGACGGACGAATCTACTCAACAGCAGGCGATAGAGGATACTAAAAGCACCAGGTTGGCGGTGCTCGCGCACGACAAACTCCGACCGGAGGCAAATGATGACCTCGATAAAGCTCCACCGTCTGAACTTTCTGAGCGCGAGATGGAAGAGATCATGGCAACAACAGATTCTACCAAAGCAGCCGAGAGCGCCGTTGACAGCACGGACACCGAGGAAGAGGTGTTGGGGAAGCCGGTCAGATTTCAGGCCGCGGCATTGGGACTACCCATACAACGGCTTGAACAGGGCGTGATGAAGCAGATTAAGACCCTAACGTGGAAAGTGCCTCCAATGCCGGATCCGCAGATACCAGCTCGTCCGCCGATGGCTGCCAGAATCAAGACTAGGTGGACGCGCCAAAAGGAGAGCGTTGCCGATGTACCGGGAGGCAGGCGTGCTCTGCTGGGACAGAAAGCGAATAGGTAGGGCTATCTATCTTTATACTTCAGACTTTTTACAACTGTGTTCATGTCGCTTTTGAGATAGTTGAAAAGAGAAGAAGCTTTAGTATTTGATATTTCAGCAGTGATTTTCTTAGTGAATGTAATTCAGCATTGCAGATGAGCACCGTAGTGTCTGGACAACGCATCCCACACCTGGTTGGCACTTTGCGTGCTCCAGGAAAGGACACACCACAAGCATAGCAGTCTGTGCTGGATTAAGGACGTTTTTAACCCGCTAACCCGCGCTGAAGCCAGAGGTAACCCCGTGTACCGATCAACGGTGGCTTCGCCATCCATGAACCGGCCGAATGCTTAAATTTTGCTTTCAGAATGGTAAATCTCGAGTGCCAAATTACCTGGGGGGAGATACTGACGTTTAATTGATCAAAGTACTTGAACACAACTGCAACCTAGACGGACTTATGACATGGCGTCTACATACCCGAAATTCCACGCTCTACAGTACCTCGGCAGCCCAGTTCGGCCCGATTTTAGTTGCTACATACATCTTCGCATCCTGTCCAACAAAGAAGAGCTTGATTCCCAAGAAGACCTTCACGAGACACATGCTACTCGGCTGTCTTACTTTTTGATCGACGACGCCACCAAACTGCCAGCTTCCAGCGACCTGGGGATGACGGTTGCACTTCAGCCAAGTTAGTGAAAGTCGTGTTTTCCGTATTGGTAACCTTAATGGAAATGAGATGTGGATCGTTGCCCTCCTGAAAGCTGGCCATGGCGCCTTCCTGTGGGATGGTGATCGGCCCGGCGGGTCCCGGAAGGAACAGTTCGGCATTCTCTCAACCTCAAGCACAACCTCAAGCACAACCTCGAGCACCACCGCGAGCACCACCACGAGCACCACCACGAGCACCACCAATACTACTACAACTGTCGCTCCCACAATTACTACTACAACCGTCGCTCCGACGACAACCACCACTACCAGTACTACTACAACTACCACTACAACTAAGGCTACCACGACGACCACAACTACAACAGTCTCTCCAACAACTACCACAGCCACCACAACTACCTACGTCCCAACAACTACAACCACGACTAAGGCGCCTACTATCACCACCACCACGACCAACGTCACTACGACGACCACATCTACCACCACGACTACATCTGCAGCTGCCACAGGGCTTTAGGTCAACAACTCTGGTAATGGAAGTTACTACACTTCTGGCTCGAAAACCTACTTTATCGGATGTGGCTAATCGCTCTCGGGAACCGCGCTCAGCAGCACCAGTGCTGCAACGTTCGAGAGGTGCCTTTCTGCTTGTTCCAGCGTCTCAGCTTGCAACGGTGTATCATAGAGCAAAGTACTAAAGAAGCTGCCACAGCCGAGTTTGTCGCATATCGAACGGGTGCTGAAGGATGCCCAGCATATGCTTCACCGTACGGGGTTCATTAGCTGTCAGGAAGCCTCTGCGAATTCCTTGATGCTCCATGGCCTGCGTGAGCTCGATCCCGAAGGTGCTCTGAAAGTCAACATGTACGCGCACATCGTGTACGCACCTGACTGGATTGCCGAGGAAGAAACGGAGTCCATGCACAATCTGATTGATAATGCTGCCACCTTCAAATCCAGCCATGTTGATACCCGCTTTGTCAAGATAATTCTTGATGGAGGGCCGCTGGATCTTTATTATACGCACGCTGGACTGGCAGATGATGGGACAGTCGATGATCAAAGTTGTTCATCCTCAATGTTCATGAAGCCGCTCAACAGTAAGATGCTGAGCATGTCACCATGAAGATTCACTGCACAGGTCACGGAGCCACGAAGCTTGCCCTTCATGCATACTAAGCAGTTCGAGAAGTGAACCCGAATGGTCCTCGGCACGAGATTGCCCACTGCTCGGGCGTACGAGACAATGACTACAAGCGTTACAAGGAGTTGAATGTAACGGCTGAGATGTCACCGGCTTGCGTCTTCGTGCATCCTGCCATAGCTGCTAGTGCAGGGCTCATGGATTGGAACTTCTCCAAAATGCGTGAAGCAGGTGCTCATGTCACGATTGGAAGTGAGTGGGGGCAAGGGAGTCGCCTGATTTGCTGCCGTCCATGGCCAACCTTGTCGAATCTGTCGGTGATGGAGATAGGCAAATTGGAGGACAAAAGGTCTGCCGTATGCTGACGCTTGCGGGTGTCGAAGCAGTCTCCCCTGCTGAGGGCGATCCTGGTGATCAACCACTCGCGCAGCATAATACGCCCGAGCATGCGAACAATGGTCCCTTACTAGCACCAAGAAGTCCAATCAGTTTCTGTGGCCCGGTCACTGCGAACTCAGAAGTCGTCAGAGCGTGCTCCGCAAAAGCCGCGAGAAAAAGGCGCCAAAAGGGGGATACTTCGTGAATGGTATTTGACACTGATAGCCAGATTGCAAGAAATCGTGGAGACGATAGCCTCTGCCTTTTCGAGGCGAACCATTTTCCGATGCGCCATTCTGGATAAAGGTACCATTTCCGAAGGCCTGTTCTGGAATTTATCCACGGGGAAGTGCGAACTATAACAATGAATACACTCGCTGGGTCGCACCATACTCACAAGTAACCATGCGGGTAAGCCTTACACGCAATCACCATGTCTTCCCGTCCAGAGTCACGCCTCATTGTCATCGGCTGCAGCATCGCAGGCATAGCCCTTGCTGCCCGCCTCAAATCGCAACTCGGATACAAGAATTTCGTGATTTACGAGCGGGAAAAGTCGATCGGTGGCACGTGGTATCTCAACACCTATCCTGGTGTCGGATATCGACTGCGATCAATCTTCCATTTACTGTGTGCAAGGACCGTCAAGAGCGTCAGGGTCAACAAAGTGTGAATCCAACTTTGACTGGCGGTCGATTGACTAAGTCTAGCCAGTATGCGGAAATAAAAGTATTAGTCGGCTGCAACCTCGTTTCGAAGTGTTCGCGCTTCGCTCGAGCCGAACTTATCCGAGATGGCTTAAGGTCGTCTAGTCTAGCCCACCACAACTCCGAACGTTGTAGTAATGTCAATTTCAGCTTCGACAGCCGAAACCAGCTTCACCGAGAGACGCAGGTCTTCTGGTGCAAGAGCTTTTCGTATTGAACTGCACCAGCTGAATTCCGCTGAACTCAGCTCCCGTCTTTACGCCTCTTGGCAAATAGTGTGGCGCCAGGAGAGCCAATCAAATGTTTGTAAAGTGCCAGTCAAGACGACACAGAGGGGCAATGCCACCGTTTCTGCCAATGAAATCACGAGGGAGTTCGTGCAGTTTCTGAACCTGTAGAGCGTGATAAGTGGCTTTCCTATCATCGGTGCTAGCGGAATTGTTTGGCAACCCACTTAAAGATTCGTCGGAGGACGCTGCGCGAAGTGCAGAGCGTCGAGCATCCGGGACGAACCCGCCGTACACAAGCTGTGCCACTGCTATCTTTAACCATAAGGTTTCACCGTATTTGCAGCAGGACAAAGTTCTGGGGAAGTAATTTGTGGCATTGGTGCTTCTGCACATGCACTTGAGCGTTCTCTACTTGAAGCCTCGGTTGAACAACCGCTCTTGGGGCTTTCTCGCTAGTGTGGAAGAATGTTCCTGTTTTTGCGCGATCACTCCTTCGTGATCATGTTGCACAATATATTTCGCATTCTTAGGAACCGTCGGCTATTTGACCCCTTATTGTTGCGAGCCTCTAGGACCGACGTACTCGCCTCGAACTTGGACGCCCCTCCTGGAGCTGTACTATCGCCATTGTTTTAAGGTCTTGAAGATAAGCTGCTGACGGTCGGCAGCAGGGAGATGTCAGAATACGAATCATCAAAAAGCACGACACTAGTGGAATCAATCTGGTGGACAACCTCGCCCGTGTAAATCACCACCCAATCCTTTTAATTTAATTGCTGCTCACTCGCCTTCATTAGGTTCGCCTCCAGCGAAGCTGGACTGCTGCCGCTTGGTTGTTCTGGCCAATACGGATTGTGAAAGTTCGATCACACCATGATCTCGTATCAGAACTCTCGTATCCCAGCACAAACTTGATCCAAGGAGCTTCACAACGACTAATCTAGTCCCCACTCATAGTCTGCACGTAGGGCAATGCCAAGTCTGGTCTCCATCAGCCGAAACGTGTTTGAAAGATCATCGGTTTCGTGGAGAGCTTCGATGGTAGTTGCATAATGCGGCTGGTAGGCACGCGGTCTCGTATCCCAAAGCATTGTTTTCAGCCGCAGCTAAAGCTTACCATCGTAGCAGAATCCGGAGATCTTTGCAAGTGATGAGAGGATTTATGACCCCAGAAGCTCACAGTGCAGAATATCTTGTATGCTAAACCCTCACATTACATTTGATTGAAAGAGGTTGTATGGACCGATGCCAGTTGCGGACCACAATGGCTGAAAAGGCCAATGACAACATCCAGGTGATAGGGGTATGCCCCATCTCTCGTTCCTAAGTTAAGGGCATTGCTGCTTTGCTCTTCCCTACTAACGCTCTGTTCCACTTCAGGTCGGTCTTCCGAGAACAGGTACTTCATCTTTGCAAGCAGCACTCGAGATTCTGGGATATAGTCCATGTCATCATATGGTTAGCGATGTCCTGAGCGACCCGAATGGCAGAGGCCAAAAATGGATGGCTGCGTGGAATGAACCGAATAAGGAAAAGAAGCATGCTATGCTCCGCGTCATTTTGAAGGGCTACAAGGCTGTCGTTGATTTCCCAGCCAGTCTTATGGTGGAAGATATGATTAAGATCTATCCTGATGCAAAGGTCTGATGCGCACAATGACTTTGGAATAATCGTCGAAGACGCCTGCACAAGCCTACGCAGAGCTGAAACGGCTAGCCTTGAAAAGTTTTGTGAAAACTGAATATCTGACACATACACTCTCTGCCTTTAGGTTATCCTAACCACGCGCAGCTCCGGGCAGCAATGGCGTGAGTCTTTCTCAAAAACTCTCGACCTCACGTATTCGCCGTGGTGGTATATCTCGACTTGGATGTTTCCTACAACGCGCCTCCTGGTCCTACAGGTGGCACCGAAATGGGAAGCTCAGAATCGTCAACTCCACAACGCCACGGTCTATCGTACGTCGAGCACGGACATCTGCTACCGCCACAATGAATATTGCCGAAGTGTCGTGCCTAAGGATAGGCTATTAGAATATCAGACTGGGGAAGGGTGGAAGCCGCTGTGTGACTTTCTTGGGAAAGAGGTCCCGCATGATCAAGAGTATCCCAGGCTATTTGTAAAGGAGGAAAACAGGAAATGGTTTCTGATCGGGGCCGCTATAGGCTGTGGAATTTGGGCAGCTGGTATTGCTTGTTGCGTGGCTGCTTGCTATTTCGGCTTGGCTGTGTTGAGGAGTAATTTTGTACCTGGGAGGACGGAATTGTGAGTGACAGTTCGGTTAGGCAACTATCTTATACACCCTCTCAACTTCTATGGACCCGTCTTCCACGTTTTAGCAGCACTCGTTATGTGCCAATCTTGCTGAATGCAATGCTCGCTTCCTAGGTCGTAACCGACTCAGTTGACAACACGTACTTCTGCCAGTGGAAGCTGTTCAGGTGCTCCACTACTTTTTCTTTCTGCCTCGCGTTTCCAAAGCAATCACTTCCTCGAATGTCGAAGCGCTCAGGAAAGTCCCGACTAGACTTAGGAGCGAAATGACGCAGTCTGGCGTTCAGACTCAGCCAGATCATTCTCGAAGACATTAGTTATAAGGCCAGCAATTTTCTCTTCTTCACCTCTCTTGTTGGTTGTGCTAGACGTCGTCGAAGTTGGCCATCTATAGAGTGATCTGCAACCGCAATCTCGAGCGCTGATGGATTCCGCAAGACATTCTCGGTGACGCTAATCCCTTCTTGAATTTTCGACCACTACACCAATCATGTCACCGCATTACGGACTGTACTAACCCCAATTGAATTTCGTGCCGTCGCACCATCATGTGGAGGCGTTTTTGACCAACACTGCACTCTACACTTCGGACTGCCTTGTCACCCTATGCTAACATCAACATCTATTAAGCACTATAAGGAGATACCTCTCTCACATGATATCGTCATACTGCAGTCTGAAACCAGGACCTTACGGTTATCCTGAAACTGATTTAAAGTCCCAGCCTCCTTGAATGAGTCGCTGGTGCGACACCAACCTCATTGTTGACGCAATGGTTATCACCATGCGTGGCGTTGCCAGAAGCCAATACATAGTCAATGAGTTTAAATGAGTTGTCTACTGCTGCCGTACTCTCTATCCTTTTCCTCTGGCGTTGATTCTAAATCCTGGTAGCAGAACCGCCTTCGTAGCACATTGCTTTTACTTCCGCCCTTTAGTATGGTTGAGGTCCGGAATATTCGATCAATGTGTTTCGAGAAGTCCCTCGCTTTCATCGAGCTCTGTACCTTCAACCATACAGCTCTGGGGTTTCTGGTCTAACATGTTCAAGTTGAGGAAGTTCCGAAGGACATCCTGCGAACGCCTCGAGCCCATCCTGAGAGTAATCTGGCGCAGCTCGGGTTCCAAGACTATTGCATGGACGGGGAGCCAGATTTGAAGGATCAAAAGGCTCAGCATGACCTCCTCTAACTACTACACTGTGTCACAAGGTCGTGAGACAGGTGTGTCCATTTCTCACAGGTAAGTTTGGGCGATAAAGGGCCCTCAATCCGATTACCTAAAATCCTTGACGGAGAAAATGGCGCACAGCTGCAATTGCACAAATACTCCTGCGCGTGTCACAAGGCAGATTTGACTAAAGGGGTTTGAGTCTAAGCGCTCAACAGACCTGTACAGAAGCCGACCCTCGGTCTGGCGTTGTTGATGCACCTCTGTCGCTGGTCAAATGTGAACTGTACAAATGCGAGTGCGAAACCGCCTATAAAGACCACCAGGTTGGATTAAGTTTCACCATATTGTCACCAAACATGTTCGAGTTTATAAACCGGGTACTTGTAAAAATGGATCTCTAAATGGCCTCGATATGGACCTTATATCCTGCCTTTACCCAATACTGTCACCTACTGTCATTGTTATCATCCTCTGATATAAATGGACGGAGTGGCGCTCTACCTGTGATGTGTGTAAGATTAGATAGATCTTCACGCATGTACTTTGCAAAACTCGGAGAGCAGGGTCACGGAGTCGCTACGTGTGAGTGGATCATTGGGATTATGCCAGCTGGTCCGGCAAGGGTGTGATCAATTTTCCACCACTTACCACGGTCCCCAAAAGTCCGTCGTCCTGCACCATGACTATTCGCTCGGTAGCCTTCTTTCTACCCTTTCACCCATTCATCCGATTTCTTCACCGGTTAGCCAACTTATCGGAGCCAGCACTGATGTGATTCATGATTATGGACGTCATGCCAGTCCTGCGCTGTCATGGCGTCTTCCGGTCAGCGTAAAATTATCCCAATCCCGTCGATGGGATCCGCTGGAGGGTGCGGGGCTAACAAGAAATCAATGCTTGAAGACAATCGCGAAAAGGATAAAAGGAATAGGTTAATGCATTCAAGGCACAGTTGCTTGTTCAATGATCCCTTCAAGCTACGGCAAGCGAATACATCGTGAAGGAAATAAAGATATTGGTAGCTTGTTGCACCAGGCAGGACATCCTTATCTCTCAGCTCGATTGCCTTGCACTCATTTTCACAAATACCTTACGCACGAAGCTGATTTCGACACAATGTCGTGTTCTTGTTCCATCTGTGAGGTGTTCAACAACACAAGTGATGATCTCCGAGCGGTACGGCCTCCACCAATGAACTCATATTACTAGTTCCTCTAATCTGGCTTCGATAGGCTTCTCATCGAGACAAGTTCGAAACAGGAAGGCAGAGGCTCCATGACTACTATGGCGACAAGGAGGGGATGACAGATGAGCAGGGAAACCAAGTAGACGAGAATCTCATCAAGCTTGCAAAAGAAAGTTGCCTACATGATCTGAGGGAAACGCTACAAGAGCTCTACGATAGTTGTGATTGAGCCAACGGATCTACAACAAGGGGAAAAAGGTGCTGTTCATCAACAAAGTCCAGTCATGTCCATCTCTCCTGCTGTGGGACAAACTCTAGCTGTGGCACCTAAGCGCCCTACTGATGTTCTCCTCGGTGCTAAAGCTCGAACAATCAGGAGCCGGGGCAAAGCAGAAATTCATGACTAGTTGAGCAGCCGTGTCCACGATGGCTTCGCATTTACTACTGAATGCTGAGTATGTGTTCCAGGACATAAGGGCTGGGGCACATTCGACACGTAGGATGACGAACCCAGCACGTTCGGCAATCCTAGGACTCTCCCGCTCCTAGTAATGATTACCCAGGCTAGCCGACAACTACTGCGCAGGCAAACACCCCCCCCCC